AAAGATGAGAGAGGGTGATAGGCATCCAGGAAGGTGGTTCTAGAAAGTGGTGGGAATTCAGCGAGATTGGCTGGTGAAGAGGGTCGGGCTGTGTTGCCGGGGGAAGAGTGGTCAGGAGGCCCGGCCTGTGCCCACTGCTGTCCAGTCATCTCTCTAGGCTCCAGGGCCTGCGGCTTCATTGGCCCTGTTTCCTGGCCCTGGGCCTGTCCCCTCAAAAACAGCAGTGGACGTGAATCTCTCTTCTTACTGAAACTCCTTCCCTGTCACACGCCTTGCTGGTGGTCCATTCACTCTTTCCTAAAACTGGTTCTTTGTATTAACTTTGTTAGTCAAATTGAATTTGTCTAAGTCAGAGGTTGACAAACCTTTTTTAATAAAGGATCAAAGAGTAAATATTTTAAGTTTTGTGGGCCACATCCAATCTGCTCCATATCTCCTTTGCTTCTTCCTCCTTTTTCTTGTTCTTCAGTGTAAAATATTTTCTCAGCTCAGAGAACTCAGCTTGTGCCTCATACGCAGAAGACTCAGGTTTCTAGCACCAGTACCACATGGTACCCCCAGTACAGACGTCCAAAAGTAAGCCCTGAGCACGATCAGGTATGCCCCCCCCAACAAAATCAGTTATTCTCAGCTCATACTCTAGGATTAAAATGAACTCTTCTTTCTTACCCATTAAGATTCCAAACTGGTACTTTTCATTACTAGCTAATGGGCACTGAGCAGTTTCAGTAAGTTATTACCTTTATAACCCTGAAAGAGCCTTGAATATGGCACTTTTTAAAATCTCAGGGCTAGGACAAAGGAGACGTTACTGGTGCCTGCTGGAGTCAATCGATGAACAACAGGATGATTGTGATCGTGATCGTGATTACCTTTAAAAAAACAGCTTTATTGGAATATAATTAAAGATTTAAAATATGCAACTCAGCAATGGTTTAGTAGGTTTGCGTAGTTGGCTCAACCCGCTGATCTAATGCTGATCTAATCTAACAGCATTTTCCTCTTTTTTTGTCTCCTCACCATTGAGTAGGGGCTAGGGGCTGCTATAACGATATACAGAGAGTTACTATGTAATCTACAAGTTTCACTCATAGGTATATGAACAAGAGAAATGAAAACATATGCCAACGTAGAAATAGTGTACCAAATGTTTTTTGACAATATTATTCATAGGAGTTGCAGCATTTTATGCCTGCATCTCAATCATGAGTATATTTGTTATCTTATAATTCAAAGTGTTTCAGTTAAAAACATCATTCATAAGATACAAAAATTGGGAACATCTCAAATGTCCGTAAAGAATTGTGTTATGGCCATCTAGTTTCTCAGCCATGAAAAGGAGTGAAGTACTTATATATACTAAATCAGAGATGAACCATAAGATCATTTTAAGGGAAAGAAGCCAGTCACAAAGGATCCCATATTGTGTGATTCCATTCCATTTGTACTAAAGTTCTAGTATAGGTAAATCCATCAAAACAGAAAGTAGTTAGTGGTTGAAGGGGCTAATTGAAGAAGAGCAGAGATGGGGAGTAAGTGATAATAAAGTTCATTTAGAGGTGATAATACAAAATTAGATTGTGGTGATGACTGCATTAATAGTCATTTTTGTGAATATACTAAAATATTTAATAATCTTCATTTTCTACATTTTCAGGTTTGGGGGCCATACTGTGTGGTGCTCAGGGGCTATTTCTAGCTTGGTGCTCGCAGGTCACTCTCAGTGATGCTCAGGGGACCATGCGTGCTAGGGATTGAACCCTGGGCTCCTGATTGCAATGCATATGTTCCAGCTCTGTGAGCCATCTCCCTGGCCCCTGAATTGTATGCTTGGAGGTTGGGGCAGAGGTTGGGGCCACACCTAGCAGTGCTTTGGGGCTATCCCTGACTCTGGTTTTTAAAATTTGTTCAGTTTGATAGGTATTAACCCAAAGTTCTCAGCCAGCTAGTGGTTCAGAAGTGTAAAGGCCCGAGGATGCATTACTGCTTGGACCCACTGCACAAGGCATTACCTGTTCTACTCTGGCAGTGCTAGAGGCCTCCAGGGCCACATGCAGTGGTACTTGGGGACCTCCAGGGCTTCTCCAGATGATACTAAAGGGGACCATCTGGTGCTGGGGAGTAAACTGGGTCAGCTATATGCAAGACATGTGCCTCAGCCTCTGGGCTATGGCTCCGACTCCCCAAAGTTTCTTTAATTAAGTCATAAGCTCCCTCTGTAGTCAGTTACCTGCTCGTGAGAGTAGGAATTTTTGCTCATTTTTGTTTTATTGCTGTATCTCATGAACAGTGTCTATAAAATAAAAGGTACTCAGTGAGATTTGTTGAATTCATGCTTTGGGATATTTTTATTTACTACAAAAGCAGTTTCCCATTTATTATTATTGCTTCATATTACATATGAGTTATTCTTTCTAGGGCCTCTTTTTGGAATGAATCTATAGCATTGAATGCACTTTCTCTGGTGAATAATACATTTTTGCTTCCTTCTGAAATTCATTAGGTCAATAGCTAACAAATATCTGTGAAGGTTTTTTTTTTTTTTTTGCTTTTTGGGTCACACCTGGCGGTGCTCAGGGGTTATTCCTGGCTCTGCACTCAGAAATTACTCCTGGCGGTGCTCAGGGGACCATATGGGATGCTGGGGATCAAACCCGGGTTGGCCACGTGCAGGGCAAACGCCCTACCCGCTGTACTATCGCTCCAGCCCCTATCTGTGAAGTTCTAAGCCTACCTTTTAAAATCATTTTCATTTTACTAAATTTGTTAAACTCCTTTTTTTCCCCTTACTGCCCTATTGTGATGGCAAGGATTGTGCACAGGCCTGGCTGTGGTGCTCGCTGGCATCACACCGTGGGTTGTGGTGCTCACTCACTCCACGAGGGTGCTTGCCAAAGTGCCCTCCTTTCATTGTGGTGCTTACACAAGTCTTCGGTGGGGGTTCCATTTGGCGCTTCGGTGCTCATCTTGCCCCTTCTGGGCCGGCAGCGGTGCTCACACACATGCTTGCCTGCGAGCATATGCCTGGCTACAGTGTTCACGTACCTTTTAGTGGTGTTTGCTGGGGGTTGCACCCCTCTGTGCCTGTGTCGCTCACACACTCCCAACTGAGGTATGGCTGGAAATCACTTGTGACACGGGGGCCCACAGACTGCAGAGCTGCCAGACTCGAACAGAAGAGCTGCAAGGATTGTGCTCCTTGCGTGTGGTGGTACCGGCGAGCAAAGATTTCCCATGGTCCAGGCAGGTGTTCTTCAACCACTGCCCCCCAGGAGCTGTCCCTGTGCCCCAGCGACATCCCTTTTAATAGCAACATCCATGGGAGAACTACATAGTGATAAGCCATTTCTGTTTTAACAACTACCACAGTATCTTAGAAATGTGCTGGGGGTTATAATATATGAGACATAAACGTCTTCATCCTGTTCTCACGCATTGCATGCACGGTTGTGATATGTGTTATTCTCAGGGATCAGTGCAATTATTTTGAAAATCAGGGATTTGGGGCCAGTAAGTTGCAAGCTACTTAATTATAGTATCAGAACTCAGACTGTATTAGTGTAAATAACAACTAATATAGAAGATTATACCCATATCATGTATTTTCAAAAAATCAGTTCCTACAACTGTTTTTTTTAAGACTAGCAAATATTTAATAAACCAGATGTCGGGGGGTGGGGGGGAGGGCACCCAAGCCATGCTAAGAAGTTCCAGGGGCTTCTCTCAGTGATTTAATGCAAAGGCCGAGAATACAGTGCTTCCCAGGGCCTGCAGTACCTGGGTCATGGTGCTTACGGACAGGCACTGGAGCACTATCCTCCCGTTGGTCATCGATTTGCTCGAGTGGGCTCAGTAACGTCTCCATCGTGAGACTGGTTACTGTGTTTGGCATATTGAATATGTCACAGGTAGCTCGCCAGACTTTGCTGTGGGGGCGAGATACTTTCAGTAGCTTGCCGGGCTCTCCGAGAGGGGCGGAAGAATCGAACCCGACTTGGCTGGGCCAGCTGCGTGCAAAGCAAACGCCCTACTGCTGTGCTATCGCTCCTTGCAGTGCCAGGAAATCAAGCCTGGGTCTTTTGTATGCTTGGTGTGTACCTAACCCCTCTACTATCTCCCCAAGCCAGAAAAATCCAGGACTTGTAAAATTTTCCTCCACATTATTCGTTTTAGGGAAAAAATCAGCAAATTAAATGTCTAATCTTTCCTAAGTTTTTGGTATATTTGGTAGAAGTTAAGCAATTACTATAATTAGGCTTTGTTGTTCATATTATTTAAGAATTGTAAAAACAGACTCTATTATCAAATATCCCAAACATTTTGACTGTGTCCCTGTGAAATGTTTATATACATGGTGAAGGTTGCTTTGTTCATAGGGAGGAAGTCTGGGTAATTGCTTTTTCTTTTTGGAATACTGACTTAGCAGTTGCAGTGGTACCAAGTACTAAGCTTAGCAATCATTAAATCACAGTGCATTTGGTCCACAGAGCCATTTTTGTATAAGAAGGAAAGGCTTTTGCATTTATTTTAAAGTTTTTATTTTTGAGAAGTCTCCCACGTGGTGCTTAGGAAGCCCCAGGACCAGTCCTGGTAATGCTCAGGTTTGGTGATGCTTGGGGGGACCGTAATGTACTGGCAGTAACATTAAGGACCTCCACTTGCCAGGCACCTACTCCGGGCCTTTGAGCTGTCTCCCTCATCTAACTTTAAGCATGGCCTCCAAAAGCAAAACAAGCTAATCACCAAAAAGATGGTGACAGTGCTGTAGAGATTGTCAGCGGTTTGCAGAGTCTAAAAGAGTTACTATTCTGCCGTGACTGAGAACAGTTTGCTGACTTCTGATTGGATTCATTTTATCCTCACACACTTGCAGCAATCTGTTGTCTCCATTTTACAGATAAGGAAAGGGAGGCCCACAAGGCTCACGTGACTGTGCTGATTGCGTTCGGTGTACTGAGAGCTTCTTTGTGCACACTTGGTAATACTGTATTTCTTTGCAGTGGGAAAGTGGATAGTGGCTCATGGACTCGATGATGGTGAGATCACGCTCTCGATCCCCCAGATGGACACCCAGGTGAGCAGCTCTTGGTTTTGCTGAGCGCGAATGGGGGGGAACCTGGTTATTCACAGTTGGGTGGGTGCTTTAGAGCAATAGAGGGCAAGCTTGGTTGAATTACGGCAGGCAGATGGAATCAGTCCACACTGAGAAGAAATGCCGTGCCCTTTACAGGGGACAGCGAGCAGCATTTTTGAGAGCGTTGCATTTTTCATATCAGTAGATGGTTTAGAATTCTTCAAGTGTTCATTTTTTTATTCATGTCTGAAGATTTGAGGAGTTATAAGGTACAGGGAGTTCCCTGTTCTTTTTTATTTTGGCTTGTTTGGGGTCACTCCTAGTAGCGATGGGGGAACCATATGCAATACCAGGGATCAAACTGGGGTTGGCTGTGTGCAAGTCAGGCACCCTAATAACCCCTGTGGTATATCTTTGACCTTTCTTGCTTCTTCATAATAACGAAATAACAGTTCTGAAGTACTCACTTGTAGTTTTGCTCTACCCTTTCCTGGTTGGTAGTGTCAGTGGTCTGTGTTATTAGATGGAGCATTTCAGCTAGTGTCCTGTACACCCACTATGAATAGGTTCCAGGACTAAAGATGCCTGTGTGACATTTCACGGGCCTCAGCAGGCGCTGTAGGCTGGTCTTGAGCTTGACACTGAAGTCACCTATGAACGCGGGAACAGTGCAGTGCTGCTGACTGCCGGAACCTATTGTGGATGCACAGGAAGGGGATAATTCTGCATTTGTGGAGGGGGTTGGGGGATAGAAAGAAAGTTTTCAAAGAAAGGATGAGATTTTAGTTGGCTGCCTAAGGATGGGCAGGACTTCTCCAGGAAGGAACAAAGGTATTCGTGTTAGGAGGGATGACAGGAGCGAAGGTTCAGAGCTTGTGAGTGATTAGTGTGGTGTGGGCCTTAGAAAAGGCGCAGCATTACGCACACAAAAGACTGACCAAGAGTGTTTCCTTTTGTGGTGCCTGGAATCGAAGCCAAAGTGTCACACGTACGCAGCAAGTGCTGTTTCCCTGAGTACCCTGACCCCCAGACCAGGATTTTTCATGTTAATATGACTTAGCCAGTGTGTTTATTCATGAGGGTCAATGTGTTTATTCATGTTTTTGATTTCGTTAACAGCAGTTTTCAATTTGTAAACACCAAGACCAGATATAAATGGAGGAGCTCTTCAGAAAGAGGGGCATAGGGTGGCTTTAACGCGATGGGCATTCCAGAGCTTGTTTGATTTTTATTTTTTTGGCGGTGGACCCGATCAAGGGGCACAAAAGACCCTGCCAAGCATAGTACCTGATTTTTGGCCTGCATCTCAGGGTTCGTCAACACCTGTGAAAGATGTAAAAGTATCTACACTTGGCTGGTGTTAAAATTAGCCTGTCTTCCTCACCGGAGCACTCTGGGAAAGACCCAGAAGACTCTCTTCCTCCCAGCACGGGGGCAGCCTGAGCTCCATGCCCCGTGTTCCCCTCACTCTGAGTCCCTGGAGGGCAGGCTTCAGGGAGAAATAGGGTGACTCGACCTCTAGTCAGGGCTTTGTCTCGGAGGAGACATTTTTTTCCCTGCATTGTAGTCAGTGAACAAACCATCCGTCTACCCAGAGGCCCTGGCTCCGTCTTCGCAGGCTGTTTGCTTTGGAACAAAAGCCTGTCAATGCTTAAGCTACTGAGCCCAAGAGACCCAGAGAGTGTTAGAAGGGTCATCAACAGACGTCTTGGGTCTCTTACCCCTTTAAAAAAAAGGAATAGTTCAAACAACCATTCCAGCAGCCTTCCTCAGAAGAAAGGGCTTCTTCACAATTCAGCCAGAGCAGTCTTGACTGTGAGGTAAGGGCTGAAGGAAGGGGTGGGGGGCAGCATTGAGTTTGCTCTGGAGCAGCTTTGCTCCTTGGTGCTCGGAGAGCTGACCGCTCGCCTGTCGGAAGCCCTGGAGGCCGTGCTCACTGGCTGTGCGGAGGTGCAGTCAGGTGGAGGTCAGGCTCTCCGCTTCCGCCAAGCAACACACTCACAAGCAGGCTTTGCTGGGGCACTCCAGAGGAAGATAATGCCAGGTGCAGCACGTGCATCCCCATTTGTGCGGTGAGAAAGATAAATATGGTTCCTGGCTCATAGGTGGGAACCAGTCATGGCAAACAAAGGGTTTTACTCGTAGCCTGTGTCCGTTGTAGCAGCTTATTAAGAGCGAGTAATTAACAGCAGTGAGGGGATCTCCTTTGTGGATTAGAAGCCTTTGCCAGCTCTCAGGGAGGATATTGAGACATTGGACACGTCCTGGGATTAGAGGGAACAGCCTCCTAGTGCAAGATTGCACCTTATTGTCTTCCAGATAGCAGCTCTCTCTTTTATCTTGAAGCCTGTGCAACACCAGCTGGTTTTTTTCCCCTGAATAAAGGTGCCTTCCTCCTCAGCAGGAACGAACGCCTCCATGTTGGCAAAAGTAGTCCCAGAATGTACAGTTCCTGGAGAGCGTTAGCACTGCACTAAAGACCACATGCACCGAGTTAACAGGCTCTCTTCGAACAGCACCTTTCATCAGACAAGTCGGGGAGCAGAACTGGGAAAGAAAAGCAACTAAGCTGCTAGTAGTTTGTTCTTTCTGCTTCTTTTGTTGTGGGGGCCACCCCTATGGTGTGCTGGGGGAGTGTGTGGGTTGAGGGGCGTGCAGTGCTTGCAGCCGGTCCCAGGGCCTCATGTGTGCAGATTGTGTGCTGTACTCCTTGAGCCACACCCCCGGCCCCATATGCAAGTCATTTTGACGGAGGAACTAACATGAGATTCAAGTTTTAAGACCTCACCTCACTCCTACCTTGCCTCATTTAAGCGCAGATTTTTTTTTCCTTTTTCTTACAGCCTTAGTAGATTAGACAGTATATTGTAGAAACTGATGTTAATCTTAGGTCTGAATTCAGAATTATTGTGACATCATAAATTCTCAAAATTAACTGAACTTCAGAGCTTATGTCCTGTTTTCCAGGCTCTGCTACACAGGTGTTTGTATGTGTCTAATCCTCCTTCTGTTGGTTTCTTACCTGACCATTGAAACAGATGTCAGCTTTTGCTGACTGGCCTTTTTCCAGAACTTTGCTATCAGCAATCCTGTAGAACAGATTCTGCTGTGGAAAGCCAACCTTCCCCCCTAGGAAGGGAGTACACAGCCCGCTGAGATACTTACACAGGGTCTATTCATTCAGATGGCAAGAGTATTCTTACTGAACATAATCACAGTCTAGATGAGCAGATGAGACTGCAGATGGGGCAAATTGAGGAATTCAGTTGAAAGGAGGAAGCAGTGAGAATAAATATTTTAAGTAGGTCATGTTAAAACAAGATTAATTTATTTTGAAGTAGACTAAACTTTTCATTGTTTCTGCAGGTCAATATCACCTGTACCGAGAAACTCTGAACACTACAAGCAGAGATATCCTTACGGACATTATACTGATGAATATAGGAAGGAACCAAAAAGATCTGTAGCTTGGAGAATGGATGATGAAAAATATGGGCAGAGTAAATCAAGAAATCCTCGTGGAAATATACCTTACCGGTCATATGAAAGCAGGTCGCCTTCTCCAAGTGGTAGGAGAGACTGTGTCGACAGTGTCTATGATTATAAGCCTTACGGAGCGTATTCGCCAGTAAGAGGGGACAGTAACAGACGATCCCAGTACATGCCAAAGTACTCAGAAGGCACATCTTACAAAGAATACCCGAGAAGCAGCTATTCGCAGAACGTGCCAGGAAGGCATATTCCCAGTGACCACAGAATGAGAGGAAGTGGCAAAGGAGGAAGAAAATCGCCTCAGAGGGCCAGTTCTCCTAGATTTGAAAGAAAATGGCATGATGAAGAGTCGAGGCACCCGAGGATCCAAGATGAAAAATATTCTCAGTCATTTAGAAGAGGCTTTGAAGACTTTCCTGAGAAAAGGAGCACTTACCAGAAGCGGTATGGGGAAATACTAAACCTGGGGAATTTGGTATAAACCTCAAGTTTAAAAAAAACCTATTATTTTTTTTTTCCAGAAGAGATTTTATCAATAAAAAGGGAAAGGAAAGGGGGAAAAAGTCAGGGAAGCTTCTGGATTATGAGAGGGGTCTCAGTCAGCAGGATCCCCGTTTATATTTGAAGATAACCACTTTTAGACAAAAGGCAATTTTGTTTAAAAAGATAAAATGGGTTACAATCACAAAACATGAAAGCTCGCAACTATCTCATGGCGATTCAATAAAATTTTAAAAAAACATAATGGGTGTTCAAGGACAGTAGCTACAAGGGCCAGGAGGATTGCCCCATAGCTGGAAGCCTGCCTCATGAGCGGAGAGGAGAGGGCAGATGGACTAGAGAAGGAATTACTAAGAAAATAATGGCTGGAGGAATCAGCTAGGATGGGAGATGTGTGCTGAAAGTAAATAATAGACCAAACATGATGGCCTCTCAGTGTCTGTATTGCAAACCATAATGCCCCAAAGTAGAGAGTATGGGGAATATTGTCTGCCATGGAGGCAGGGGGAAGGTGGGGAAGGGGAGTATACTGGGGATATTGGTGGTGGGGAGTGTGCACTAGTGGAGGGATGGGTGTTTGATCATTGTGTGATTGTAACCCAAACGTGAAAGCGTGTAACTTTCTCACGGCGATTCAATAAAATTAAAAATAAATTTAAAAAAAGATTGCTAAGTTCACAGAAGATGTGTGGAATAAAGAAAGTAAAAAAAAGATAATGGGTGTTGGAACACCTATATGCAGGATATGAAGGGACAGAATGGGGGAGTAACAAATGCCCAGATAAAGTATTGGAAGATTGTGTACCTGAAACTCAACTCTGAATTACTTCGTAAATTAAGGTGCCTTAATAGAAAAAATTAAAATAAAACTATTTGAAAATATAGTCCATTCTTAGGAGTGAAGCATTTCTTTTTAGGGTAAATCATCTTGGTCACTATAATATTTTTTAAATTTAGATTTTTATTAGTGAAACACCATGAGGTGCAGTTGTAGATTTACAAATTTTTGTGCTTGGGTTTCAGTTATACAATGATACAATGATCGAATACGCATCCCTCCACCAGTACCCATTCTCCACCACCTCTGATCCCAGTATCCCTTCCACCCCCCCCCCCCCCCCCCGTTCCCCCATCCCACCCTGCCTCTGTGGCAGGGCATTCCCCTTTGTTCTCTCTCTCCTTTTGGGTGCTGTGGTTTGCAAAAGAGGCATTGAGTAGCAATCATGTTCTAAAGTGTACTTACTCTCAGCACGTATCTCCCATCCTGGGAGGATCCTCCCAACACCCTTTATTTGGTCCTCCCTTCTCTATCTGAGCTGCCTTTTCCCCCAGTGTGTACGGCTGGCCTCTAAGCCATGGAGTAAACCTCCTGATACTTAAAACCTGGTACTCTGCTATTCTTGGGTGTTATTTCCTATCTTGGGTGCTATTCTCCTATTTTGTTACTTTCTGTTCCCCAGATGAATGCAATTTTTCTATGTCTGTCCCTCTCTTTCTGACTCATTTCGCTTAGCATGATACTTTCCATGTAGTACCACATGTATGGTAACTATAATATTTTTTAAAGGGTGGCGTTTTCCTCTTTACCTCTATTAATAGTTTGTCCCTTTATAAGTTGACTCGAGAGATTATGGATTAGCTTGCATTCTGCACTGCAAACCATGCTGCCCAACATCCCACACCTGAAAACTCCCACTTTCTCAAGTGCAACTGTAAACTGCTTTGTGTCACCACAGGTATCCCCAGGAACGTGATTTTAGAAAATACGAACATGTGCCAGAGAGACCGAAGTACCCTGAGAGATATGAAAACAGAGAGTCTGCCCGAGCCTCGCAATGGAAGCCTGGGCATTCTCCACACCGAGAGAAGAGAGTGCAGTGGAACCTGGGGCCGCACATTCACCGCTATTCGCAGTGGGAGCCACTGGAGAGCAGCTCAGCAACGAAGACACCCTCTGACTCTCACCACAAACGGCACAAGGTTTCCGAGGGGGACCAGGACTCTTTTGATGGAAGAATTCAAAAGTGCTCCAAGGCAGATGATCGAAAACACGCTTCTCCCAGAAGCCCCACTAATAGAGAGTCCAGTGGCTTCAGTCCTGCAAGAGGGAGAGAGACTGATAGTGAGCAAGTCAAAGAGGCAGGTAAAGCACCTAAGAAAGACAGCTCTACCTCTTCTTTCCCGGAAAAAAGTGACAATGGTGCGAAACCCTGCCATGATAAGAAGGAGCACGGCGCCAAGGAAGGCGGGGATGGAGGCAAGGAGGGCAGCTCCTCCAGTAAGCAGTTCAGTGAGAAAAAAAGTGCCGCCAATGAGAAATCATCCTCTGTCCACCTCAGGAAGAAATCATTTACAATTAAGGTCGACATGACGAAAGTGTTAGAGCCACTCAGGTATTTTTTTTTGTCATTTTAGTTCAGAGCGCTTATTTTGTCTGTTCAAAACCTTTAAACTGGATTAATGATTGTTTAGGGTCCATCCTGGGGTGAAATATTGCGTGAATTTTTTTTCAGCAAACCTTGTAAATGAAGGATGAGTCTCTTGTGTTTGTTTCCGCGTTGTAGCTTACAGTGCATCCTCAGTACAGAGCATTCTGTGGGGTTGTTCATGCTCATGAATTTACATGTTTGATGCTGCCAGATTTCCTGTATCCAGGGATCGGTAGGGTGGCATTCAGAGACTGTCCCTTGTTGACTTTTTCAGAGCATGTTCCCCCCTCCTTTTGCTTGAAAGCGAATTTTTGTCTTGGAAGCACCTTAGCAAGCCGTGGTTTTATAGGGAGAAAGCCTTGAGAGAGTGACTTGTTTGATGCAGACCAGGGAGGTTTCTAGTCCCCCTAATCTCTTTGAGATGCAGGGGGGGGGTAGGTGATTTCACATGATTCTTGTTGCTCTCTCATAATTCTGTGGATTAAGCTGTGGAGAGTAACCTCAGTTGAGTAAATTCGATGGGAGTGTAGAAAAAGACTTACTTATGACTTTGGGGTAGCTCTTAATGATTGAAAAGAAGAAGGACTACTGTCCTAGTCGATTGTATTCTCCTAAAGCAGGCTGGCTGGCTTTGTTCCATTGTAATTTTACCTGTGTTCAGAATCTGAGACTAGTAAGACAATGAGTTGGCTGTGTCAGCTAAGACTGTTCATTACCTTCATAGATTACCAGTGTGGGAATTAAAAAGTGACAGGAACTCAGGTTTTTTCCAGATTCTGGCTATTGTAAAGAGTGCTGCAATGAACAAACAATTGCAGATGTCACTTCGACTATACCTTTCTGCCTCTCTGGGATATATTCCCAGGAGTGCTATAGCTGGGTCAAATGGGAGATCGAATTCTAATTTTTTGAGAATCGTCCATACTGTTTTCCAAAAGGGTTGGACCAGCCGGCATTCCCACCAGCAGTGAAGGAGGGTCCCTTTCTCGCCACATCCGTGCCAGCACCGGTTGCTTTTGTTCTTTGGTACATTTACACAATGGAGTACTATGTACCTGTTAGAAAAGATGAAGTTATGAAATTTACATACAAGTGGTACTACATGGAAAGTATCATGTTAAGTGAAATGAGTCAGAAGAGCGGGATAGACACAGAAAGATTGCATTCATTTGGGGAACATAAAGCAACAAAAAGGGAGACTAACACCCAGGAATGGCTGAAATTAGTACCAGGAATTTTGCTCCATGACTTGAAGGTCAGCCACATGTGCTAGGTGAAAAGGAAGCTCAGATAGAGAAGAGAGCACCAAATAAAGGGTGTTGTGAGGACCCTCCCAGGATGGGAGAAGCATCCTAAAAGTAGTCTATAGACCAAACATGATTGCCACTCAATGCCTCTCTTGCAAAACACAGTACCCAAAAGAAGAGAGAGAGAACAAGGGGGAATGCCCTGCCACAGAGGCAGGGTGGGATGGGGGGGATGGGGGGGTGGGGGGGATGCTGGGATCCGTGGTGGTGGAGGATGGGCACTGGTGGAGGGATGGGTACTTGATCATTGTATAACTGAAACCCAAGCACAAAAATTTTTAAGTCTATAACTGTACCTCATAGTGTTTCACTAATAAAAAAATAAAAAATTAAAAAATTTTAAAAAAAGTGACGGGACACACAGATGTGGTGCATTTACGTTCAAAACTGATTCATATCTGTATTTAATTCAGAAACGAGGAAACAAATTCTGTTAGAATATAGTGGGCAGGGAGGTTAAACCCAGCCTTTTAATTTTTTTCCCTTTTCTTAAAGTTAGATTTAGCAGTGGCCTCCATTTTTTCTCTTATGTTTGTATGCTTACAAAAATATTTAAAACGTACGTATATTTATGGATCTATATGTGCACAGAAAGCATTGATAAATGTAATTCCATTACAGCTAATTCACAAATGAGGGAAGAATCAAAATTCTACTACTCTGGGACGATGTTACTAATATTTTATTATAGTTGCCTTTGTTGTTTGTCTGTGTATATTTACACTTAATTGCTATAGTGATGTGCTAGCAGTTTTATACCCCTTTCTCCTATTATATATCTTATGTCATATTGTTCTTACTAGTTCTTTATCCTTTGGGAAGAGGGACCCACACCCAGTAGCGCTTGGGCCTATTCCTATGGTGTCAGGAATTGATTGAACCCAAGGCCTCATACATGTTTTGATGCTGCCAGATTTCTTGTATCCAGCGATCTATCGGTGAAGTGGAATTCAGAGACTGTCCCTTGTTCGCTTCCTCAGAGCATTTTTTTTTTCATTTGCAGGGCAGATACTTTGTCTCTTGAGCCCTCTCCGCTGTCTTTGTTCTTTATCTGAAGCATCAGGGTTAAGGAAGATATCTTAAGCACTGTTTCTTCCTAACATTATATTTTTTGAAAATGTCCAAACACAAAAGCTGAAAGAATTGTATTGTGAACACCTGTATTTCCACTGCCTAGAATCTGCAATTAATGTTTTACTCTATTTTCATAATCACATATCTGTCCATTTATCGTTTGGTCCATCTTAAATTTTGGTTGCATTTTCTAGTTATTTGCTGGATAACAATGCACTCCCCTTTATTAATTTTATTTCTTTTTTAGGTGGTGCTGGGAATAGAACCCAGAGCCTCACTTATGCAAGTCATGTGCCTTCATCACTCAGTCTCATTCCTGGCTCTCTTCTCCCCTGTACTTCCATGCTTATTTTCATTTTTATTTTTACTTTTGTTTCATGTAAAAGTCAATCAAAAATGTTAAAATCTTGGATGTTCAAATAACAGCAACAGTGTCCTCACTTTAACTTTTAGATTTAAAAGGGAATAAATTGACTAATATTTAAAGGTTAGTAGAAATACCATTCTCTGGTCTTATTGATAGTGGTAGTGCCGTGGCTTGGTCTGTAGGTGGTGGCGAGTCACTTCCCTGATCCCATGGAGGGTGATTCAGGGAATGTTGTCTGCCCTTGACATGGGAGAAGGCTTCAAAGGCCGGTGTGTGTAAGACACTGGGAGCGGAGAGGAAGACATTTGGTGTTTCTGGGTTAACAAAGTGAAAATAGAGAGACTCTTTAGCTGTGTGTTCCTGGGCAATCAGTGAATGAGTAGAGGGGCAGGAGTTTAATTGACAGGATTCACTGACCGAAGAGCGTGCTCAGCATTCTATGGGATGGCTGGAAGGGGGTGAATTGATGAGGCCTCTTTGGGAAGTTCGATGAGAAAAAGCAATGAGATGCCTCCTTTTCCTTCAACTCCTAACAGTTCTAAGGAAGAAGGAAACAAAGAAGGTAACAATTGGGAACGTGTTTTTAGCACTCTAGGATGGTGTACAAATTATTAGTTGTTTGTTGGAAGAAAACTGAGAAAGGAGAACTTTGTGTCATATGTCATATGGATGTTATGTATTATGAGCCTCCAGAGGGTAGGTTTTGGTGGTTGTTGGTTTTTTGTTATTGTTTTGCCATGCAGTTGGTTTTCTTTCAATGTGTTTATGCGGAAATTAAGGCTTTTCTGTTTTCTTTGTTTTTATATACAACACTTGGAGAATGTCAGGGGAAGGGTCTGGCAGGAACAAAGGAACGTGGGAAATTTAATCAGTAGTAGAAGTGGTACTAGATGACAGCTGTTTGCTATGTTCTGTTTTTTAAAATTGTCTACAATTCATCACAAACAATTGTTTATTTCATCTTACTACTGCGTTGGAGACTTTTTATGAAATTATTGATAAATGTGTCTAAGCAAAAAAGAAACCTGTGAACTTGTGTGATCAAATTTACAAATGCAGGTATCTAGAACAAAGTCCCAGGAAGTCTTTTGTAATAACAGAAGTATCATAATTGTTTTTAAAGACAAAAAGGACAGATTGCGCTGTTTTTATTCTCTATTAAAACCTTATAGTAGAGGAAACTATAGGATAATTTTTTTAACTGCTAGCAAATACAAACACTCAAATTTCAGGAATTAAGTATGCTTCAAAGCATACCATTGCACTCCTATGGATTGAGGTTTGGGAATGGAGTGGAGATTAGAATTTACATTTTAATAATGAGTTGAAAAACATGGTGTCTGTATCAGCTGGTTTTGGGGTCTTAGCAGAACCCCAAACTGCATTAAAACAGTCAATCATTTTCCCTAGGGATGGATGATTTTTTTTTTTTTTTTGCTTTTTGGGTCACACCTGGCGATGCACAGGGGTTACTCCTGACTCTGCACTCAGGAATTACCCCTGGCGGTGCTCAGGGGACCATATGGGATGCTGGGAATTGAACCCGGGTCAGCCGCGTGCAAGGCAAACGCCCTACCCGCTGTGCTATTGCTCCAGCCCCTGGGATGGATGATTTTTATACCTCTGCTTACATGGTTTTGTTTTGGAGTTTTGGGCCACACCTCACAGTGCTCAGGGCTTACTCCTGACTCTGCTCAGGGATCACTCCTGGTGGTGCATGGGGGACCAGATGCAATGCTGGGGATTGAACTGGGGATGGTCATGTGCAAGGCAAATTTCTTAACCTCTTAAAATGTTTCTAAAAGCTGTATTATTGCTATGGAAGAAGCATACTATACCCCTTTAGACAGAACTAAACCCATTTAAACAGAACATTTGTAACTTTTTTAGTGGAGGGTATCAACCCTCCATTTTAAAGCTCCTCCATTTTATCATTTAAAATGATTATCTCCATTTTAGCTTCTAGTATTAGCTTCAGTATCTAAATATCTCTTAGCTACACCTGGGAAGCTTTGGAGGATATAAGGAGGAAGGAAGATTTTAGAAATGGGACTGCTAATGAAAGTTTTTCTAGTGAATCAGGGACCCCCAGCAGTGGCATTAACCTTGCATGGTCACTGTATCAGGAGTCTGCCACGGTAGGGAGTTGTCAGTTTGAAGAACAGGGACTGTGCAAAGTCAGATGGAGGGTTTTGCTTTGAGAAGTAAAAAAAACAAGCAATTAAAACCATCTTGTTAGAGGAGTTAAGATTTTTTTATTGATATCTACAATCCCCTCATAATCCTGGATTCATTTCAGATTATGGTGTCAAGTGACTTAATAAATAAGCAAATATGAAAGGGAGCTGGTGGTTTTTGTTGTTATGTGTCATGTATTCCAGCAGGGCATTGTTGTTATGTAGAACATTTTCAAGGTCACTTTGTTATATTTTTCTTGAAAGCCTGGGACATGCTCATAATGAACACCCGCAGTTTTAAATCTCAATATTCTTTGAATGGTGAATTTGACTGTGGGAAGGAGTCAAATGCTGTTTAGAGTTAAATACTGGGAGGACGGTGACTGTGAGCTGGTTAGTACCATTTGTGGTCCAAAATGAGGTGTAGGTCTGGAGCAATAGCTCAGCGGACTGGAGCAGTTGCATGGGTGTATGCTTGGGTTTCAGCCCAGCACCTCAAGGTCTCCCAGGTGTGGCCCCCAAACCAAAACAAATCAACAGTAAAATGAGGTGTCAATAGGAAATGTGTCTTCTTTATCACATCAAATGCCTTGACAAAGAATGTAATAGTACTTTTGAGTCAGAGCAACATTATTGGCATAGGGTACAGTTTTCTATTTTGACATTTGGAAAAATTACATTTACTTGGATGTGCTCAACCTCCGACACGTGTAAAGCAAAACACCCAACATATCCATTGGCTCAGCATCACAGTACCTTTCCTATAGGGCTGTTGTAAAGACTAAGTGAAATAATGTTTATAAGCACCCAGTAACCAACCCCTGTGATTGGCATTGTGGTAAGCCCTCAGTAATCATGTGTCATATTCATGGCTTTTGAGTGAGAGCTCACCAAACATTATTAAACTTCAGAAAACATTAAAATGATTAGATAGCTGGGGTTATGTAGATGGGGTAGCATTTCTTTAAGAATGCATTTAGGGTAAATGCTCTCATTGATTTTAGTTATCCTAATTTTGCTAACAACTATCTTCTGAGAATTTAGTTCTCTTTTGTGATTAAATTATTGTCAGCACAATCTGATTGTGAAATACTAATCTAGCTTCACGTTGCTAATAGAGATACAGAATTTCTGTTGGAAGTCAGAGAAGCTATTGCATTTGATATTAGCTTCTCAAGAACGGTAGTATTTTAACACAATCTAAGTTTGCTGGATTTATAATTGTACAGACATTTGGGAGTAGAAAGGAATCTCTTTTTTGCATATTGAGTGTCTTTGATGTCTTGCCATGTGTTTTAAAGTAAAAAATTGTTTAATTGAAGATTTGGAAGATACGCTCATTAAAATGGCAAATATTTAATGATCTCTGACTTGAAAAGGAGAACTCAAACTATGATCAGTATCTCTTCTCATTATTTTTTTATCGCAATACAACTTGGTGCCTTAATTATATGAAAAGATACGCTTTTTTTAGTTTTATGGCTATCTTGATTATTTTTAATCAGTTATGATCTCGGCAAAATAGAGTTTCAGATTTAGTCAAGCATATGAACATTATTTTAGAGAGATATATTTCACCCTATTTGGTTCTGTTGGCAGGCAAACTGAGGACTTTGATCCAGGTGAACATCTTGCCTCAACTGAGAATACTGAAAACAGATCTTCAGGAGAATTTGCACAGGAAATCATAACTCTGATTCATCAAGTCAAAGGTTAGTATACTTTGCACACACACATCAGGGATAATACAAATACAATGTACTAAGTTTTCATGAGGTGTAGGTAAATATTAATGATGTAAGAAACAGTTATAGTTCATTATAAGTTAAGTCATTTATCAGGAAATCTCTTGAGGAGAGTTTGGGCATGAATTCAAATCTAGTTGTTCTTTGTAACTCCAATAACCTGGTTCTTCAGCTCATAGGAGGTTAGAAATCAAAAGGGAGAGATTTGGTGGTATAACAAGACAGACATACTAAGAACTTCAAGAAACCATAGTGACAACCAAACAGGAAGAAGGAAACAGCAGATAAGAAAGAATCTGGACAACTAGGCCCTAATAATCTTTTAAAATTTAATTTTATTTTTATAAAGTAGTTCACAATATTTATTACATTTAATATTCGAAAACCAATTCTACCACCATTACACCTTCCCACCACCATATTTTGGATGTTTCTATCCTGAACTCCAACCCCTGCCCCGAAAGCAGAACCGAAATAATTTGTTTTATGTTGTTTGTTATGTGTAAACTGCTGAAAATGCTCCAAAAAACTTTCCTTAGAGGAGAGTGTGTGAAGATTGTTGTATTTCACCTAGGGGCCATTAAGCCCTTCTACAAGAGATTACTAATACGTTGTTAAAGGTTGAGCCTTGTGTGCTTATATATAAATGTGTATATATATATTTCTGTAAAAATATATTTCCCTCTAAGATTGGTTGCCTTCTACTTTGAACCCATCAAATGCAGTTTGTGGAATTTGTGGAATTTGTGGCTGCGTAGCCCAGGGATAGGTTTACTGGTGAGTGAGGCTCAGCCCCAGTGGAGAGCAGCCGTGAACATGGCAAGAGTTGAGTTCTGGAGATTTTTGGCTGCCAGGGCTGGGTCCCTTGGCGCAGTGAGGGGCCCAGCCCCTCCCGGAGTGCCCCGACTGAAACAACCTGACTAGGGCTGTGATAATATTCCTTTTTTTTTCTTTGCTTTTTTGGGTCACACCCGGCAATGCACAGGGATTAGTCCTGGCGCTGCACTCCGGAGTCACTCCTGGCGGTGCTCAGGGGACCATATGGGATGTTGGGAATTGAACCTGGGTCAGCCGGGTGTAAGGCAAATGTCCTACCCACTGTGCTATCTCTCCAGCCCCTGTGGTAATATTCTTAAAGCTTCCTGAAGACTTGACAGGACTGGACTTTGTGTCATAAGGGTGATGATAAGTGATCAGTAAAACATTTCTGTTTGATTTGTATTATTTTATGACATCAAGGGTAATAGCAAATGTTCATTAATAAATCTTTTACAAATTTGCATCAAATTTCTTTTGTTTCTGACCAATTTCCATTAGTTGCAAAATTCAGTCATATAGAAGAATTTTCCTCATTGATGCTGCATAACTGCATAAGGTAGTTGTGCCTGCATAAGGCAGATGTGGGTAGTGTGAACTGAAGATCATCAAGAATGTCATACTTTTAAATCTTACATTACTAGATGATTGCATTTATTTTTTTTCTTTTTGGGTCACACTGGCGTTGCACAGGGATTACTCCTGGCTTATGCTCTCAGGAATTACTCCTGGTGGTGCTTGGGCGACCATATGGGATGCTGGGAATTGAACCCAGGTTGGCTGTGTGCAAGGCAAACGCCCTACCTGCTGTGCTATTGCTCCAGCCCCGCATTTATTTTTTAAACCTTCATGAAGCATATTTCCAAAATAATTTTCTTTGCATCCTACAAACTAAGGCATATCTTTAAAGCTTGCACTTTTTCTGAAACAGTTCGCTTTTATCTCTTACCCAACAATAGTGTGATTCTTGGCAGGAAGGATTCGATATTGCAGAAAACTCCAAACGGGAAAATTAAGTTAGGGGAAAGGATCGCTTAAGTGGCATTCTGATGGGGTCAGAAGTGTTACATTCGCTCAATTCTGTTAAAACACAGCTGATTTAAGAATGCCTTCATGGACCTCAGATAATGTTGATTAAAATAGCATTAAGAGACTGTCCGTGATATGTCAACATGAAATTTAACATTTTGTTTAGAATTCTTTTTGATGTTGCGGGGTTGTTTTGGAGTTAATTTTTTGCTTTAGATGAACTACAGAGCTTTATACCATTGTTATTTCCCTGACATAGTAAGTAAGGGTTGGCCTTGGAGAAAAAAGGTCTTCACTTAGAGGCATTATCGTTTCCCCTGACAAAGTAGGCATGTCAAGTGGGAACATAATTTTTTAATTCATAAAGCATGTGGTCATTTTTTGTTCGGTTTTTGTTTGTTTGTTTTTCTGCTCATTTTCTGTTTTACCACTGCTTTCGCTTGGGAAAGCATGTGAATACAACAAATTAGTCTGTGGAATAAGTTGAGGGTCTCATATTTTCAAGAAAAAACAGGTTGAATGTTTTTAGTAGTCCCTTCTTCCTGTTCATATATATAATCTGTTAAGTGGAATCAGATTTACACTGAGATAAAACTATTTTTCCCTTTTTCAGCAAATTATTTCCCATCACCTGGCATTAGTTTGCACGAGCGGTTCTCAAAAAGACCAGCCAAACGAGATGCAAACGTAGCTACTTTGAGCTCAGATCCAGAAATTCACAGGTACTGTTTAATTATTGTATACCTGTTTAACTCCTGGGAAGAAACCTCAGAACAGATATGGGAAGGTGCTGCCTGCTGATTCGCTCACTGGGGCTTGCTGTAGAGTCCAGCATTGTATTTTGTTACTCAGCATAGGTAGTAAACCAGTGTGCTTTGATGAAGTTGATTATTTGTAAAGTCATGTCTTAGAGTTGTTGAAATGTATAGGATTTTGAAGTTGTTTACTTGCATAACTTTGATTCTGCTATGTCTATAGTAATTGCCTTCTGAAGTTGCCCATGGAAGAATGAAAAACAGTTGTCCAGCCACTGAAATCATGGGTTGCTGGTCAGAAATGGCTGTTCTGAGGGCAGCCGGATGAAAACACATGTCGTCTTCTACTGGCACCTACCCAAACAGATGGTGCGCCCTGTCTTGTGAGATGAGTTGAAGCCATGTTAGAATGAAGTAGATCACCAGGGAAAAGTTTCAGGTTACACAGACTAGTGATTTGGAGCCGCAAAGGCATCACTGTGGTGGTGTTTCACTGCAGATGTGTTTGTGGAGACTGCCATATAGATGATAAAACCACCTGGTAGCAGGTTCCATTCGCTTCTTTCAAGAGATACCAGCTTTATTTCTAATTCCACTCATAATAATGGGATTACGGTATCAGTGTGCATAGCATAGTTATTTAAATATAATGTGCCTTTATTATTTTAGGAGAATAGATATGTCTCTGACTGACCTTCAGAGTAAGCAAACAAACAAACACACTGTGCTATATGAATCAGAGGAGGTAAGTGCATATTATTTTTGATGAGAGATTATCTTATTATTGATAGACTTAATGGGAAAAGGAGATGGTGATTTGGGCGTTAAAAAGAGAGAACAAAGTATTGAGATCCAGGAATCTGAGTTACGAAGCTCTCCAAATGATGAGAATTATCAGCAAGGTTGCAGAGAGAACGCTGACCAAAGACAGGACTACGCCCTAAGAGAGACAAATCCTTGAGGTTGATAGCTTTGTAATTGTATCAGTTCTAAAATTGACCCAAATTTACAATACTCAATATTCATTCTAAACATTGCACTGTAAAATTTGTGCATAGTATATTCATTTTTCCTTGTTTCTTCCAAAGCAGCCATATAAGGTGTATTTTTTTTTTTTTTGTGGAATGAATGCAGAGGAGCTGAATTTCAGTTTTTGCCCTTTTCTTTGCTGTGGAATATGTGAGAGATTTTAAGGAATATGAACTAGCAAAATAATGGGAAAAATGCTGGGTTTGGGGGGGCTTGTTTTGGGTCCACACCCGTGATGTTCAGGGCTTATTCCTGGCTCTGTGCTCAGGGATCACTCCTGTTGGGCTTGGGGGATCATATGGGGTGCTGGGGATTGAATCTAGGTGAGCTGCATGCAAGGCCAATACCCCACGCTCTTGTGCACTCTCTCCAGGCCTCCAAATACTGAAGTTTTTAATTTTTCTGTGTTGTATGGTGGTTCCCAGCTAACATCTTCCCACCCTGACCCCAACATTTCTTTCCTAATTAGAAAAACTGTCATAACTAGCCAGGTAGGAAAAAAACTGACTCTTGTTTTAAAAGTGTATGGGCTGGAGCGATAGCACAGCGGGTAGGGCGTTCGCCTTACAAGCGGCCAACATGGCCGACCCGAGTTCGATTCCTCCGCCCCTCTCGGAGAGCCCGGCAAGCTACCGAGAGTATTTGATATGCCAGACACAGTAACAACAAAATCTCCAATGGAGACGTTACTGGGCCCGCTCGAGCAAATCGACGATCAACGGGAGGGCCTTTACCTTTACCTTTACCTTATCAAGATCTAAAAGAACTCCTGATTTATTCATTGAGGGTAAAGAATTTTGGTTAATGGAGAAATTTTAAAAACATTTCTTATAAATTGCATCAGTATTTTCACTTGTTAGTGGATATAATTTTTGTTAAACTTAGAGATAGGTTTATTAAATGCATTTAAGGACTTTAAAAACAAATTTTATTTATATATTTTATATTTTTATATTTATATATTTTTTATTTGTCAAAGTAGTATAATCAGCTTAGGAAATTTGATAATTTTCAAAGAACAATCTTGAGTTGAACCTTTTTTTGTTTTTATTTTTTTGCCACACCTGGTGGTGCTCAGGGTTTACTCCTGGCTCACTTCTCAGGGATTATTCATGGCAGGCTCAGGGGACTCTATGGGGTGCTGGCAAGCATTCTACTCTCCAGCCCTGAATTGAACCATTTCATGCAAATATTTGACCATCTATGATATTTTAACATAGTTCCTATCACTATGTATGCAGTTTGAGATACTTTTTTCCCCGCTGCCTCTCCTGGCATTGCTCAGGGCATACTCCTGACTCTGTGCTCAGGGATCGCTCCTGACAGTGCTTGGGGGACCGTTTGGGGTGCCTGGGATCAAATCTGGGTTGGCCGCATGGAAAGCAAGCGCCTTACCCCACTGTACTACCTCTTTAGAGGGCCTTATTTTTTATTTTTACTTCAACCAAATAATATCCCTTTTCCGTAAAATGCTATGCCTCCTTTATGATTAAGGTTTTTAAATATTAACATTTTTCAATTAGTGGTTTTCCTTGCTGATTTCCATAAAGTCTGTCACCTTAATTTAAATGCTTGCACATTTTTCCTTTGACTTAAGTTACCATAAATTCATTCCTCTCTTCTCCTGAAATTTGTTTTTTGTTTTGTTTTTTGGGGTCACACCTGACAGTGCTCAGGGCTTACTCCTGGCTTTGCACTCATGATCACTCCTGGCAGTGCTCAGGGGACTATATTGGAGTGCGGGGGATTGAACCCTGGTCAACTGCATGTAAGGCAAGCGCCTTACCCGCTGTACTATCACACTGCCCCCTCTTTAGATTTCTTTTTGCATTTAAGTTGCTTTTACTTTTTAGTTATTTTAAAAGATATCACTTAGAACTTACTTTTCTTACAAAGACAAAATAAACTTGTTCTTTGAGATGAAGTTTCAGAAATGGGGTTGTTGATTCAATGTTAGGAAGTTTTTGACTGTATCATCAATTATGGCTCAAAATATTTTTTTTGGTTTACATTTTACCATTAAGAGGATGAGTATCAGGTACCTTACTTAGGAATGTTACTTAAGGTTCTTGTAGTTATCATCTTTGTGCAATAACAGTAATGGGAATGATTTTTCTTCCATTAAAATTCCCCAGACTGTGGTCAAAATAATCGATGCAAATGACCTACGACATGACATTGAACGAAGGAGGAAAGAACGTTTGCAGAATGAAGATGGTTACGTATTTTGCATAAATAATGCTGCAGACAGGTAATCAGTGAATGAGAACCATCCTGTTATCAGGCAGATTTTGGTTTCAGCCTTGATTTTTATGTTACAGTTTTTATTTTAGTGTGGGGGTTTGAGACTTCAAAGACATTTTATGTGTTTAAGTTACTTCTTTTTAAATGTTTCACAGTTACTCAATGATCATTTTGTGTATGTGATTTAAAAATCAGTTATGGGATAGGTGTGTATTTGAGGCTATTGCAATTCTAGAGAGGAATGTAGAAGTGTTCTGAATATTAGCAAGAGTTAGGACCTGCAAGTTTATGAACTAAATTTGGTACAAGGTAAATAATAATCTGGTAGATCCTGGTATTTTTTGAATAGTACAAAATCTCCTGAGGTTAGTAGAGGTTCCATTTTCCTTGACAAGACTTCTTTGGTAATCTTCCAAGAGACAGAAACAGGTATAGTAGGAAATGTAGAGGAGACCCGAATTTGAATCCCGCTTCTGACAGCTTCTGACAGTTTATCAGCCGATCGATCTTGACAAACCTTCCATTAGCCTCTGGAGCTTTTTTATCTGTAAAACAAGAGTCACCTATTTATGTCTGTAAAGATGAGAAATAACAAATGAGCTGACACACATGAAGTACTAACACCATGCATACAAATAGATCATTGTTCTTCTTTTTTCACTTGTCTTCTTTTCAGGGGAAAGGGAGGTTTAATAATCTGAACTCACCCTCTCTTTCTAGTTCTGAGGCTCTGGGAACCCATATGATTGTGGGTTATCATGAGTGGGGCAAAATTTCTACTCTGTCCAAGAGATTTCTGATGTTTGGATCTCCAGAAAATGGGCATACATGGATAAGCTGGCCTGGGTAATGCCAACCCTCTTTCCACGGTCCTTAGTGTCAGCATACTAAGATATTTGGGTAGATTTGTTTTCTTTCTTTGGTTTTGGGCCATCCCTGGCAGTGCTCAGGGCTTAATCCTGATTCTGTGCTCGGGGATCACTCTTGGTGTGGCTCAGGGGACCAGGGGTTGTGGCCGGGATCAAACCTGGCGTGACTGTGTGCAAGGCAAGTCCCCTACCCATCTTACCACCGCTCCCGCCCCTATTTTCACTTTTTAGAGTAATGTTGTGAACATTGGGTTTGCTTAGCCTTTTGATGACCTGTTGGACAGTTTGCCACAGCAGCTACATCATTTTGCTTTCCCATCAGCAGTGTCTGAGGCTTCCAGTTCTCCATATTCTTCCCAGAACTCATTATTGTTCGTCTCTTAAAACAATGGGGCCCAGAAGATGGCTTAGTAACACAGATGGCAAAAAGCACTTGTCTGGCAAGTGCAACATCATGAGTTCAAACCCTGGCAAAGTCCTTGGGACTTGCTGTGATGCAGCAGGAAGGATGTGGAAGATGACTCGGTGACTTCAGAGGTGCCCAGGCAAGCGAGAGGACTCACGTGCTTAATATATTACCTCAGTGCAGCACTGGGGTCATGGCTGCCCGAGGTTGCTGGGGTAACAGGCAAGAGAAAATTAAAATAATAGTAACAGTAGCCCAGAAACACTTGTCATGTCTTATATCCTAATTTAATTTTCTTGTTAGAACAAAAATTCATCCTTTTTTTTTTTTGGATTTTTGGGTAACACCTGGTAATGCTCAGGGGTTATTCTTGGTTCTGCACTCAGGAATTACTCCTGGCAGTGCTTGGGGGACCACCATATGGTATGCCAGGGATCGAACCCGGGTCGGCCACATGCAAGGCAAATGCACTACCTGCTGTAGTATAGCTCTGGCCCCAAAATTCATCCTTTATCTCAGAAATTTCCTTAGTCAAAATTGACCTTAAGGGTTTTTTTTTTAACATTAAGTGCTTTTAGGACTGGAGCGATAGCACAGCAGGTAGGCGTTTGCCTTGCAAGCGGCCAACATGGCCAGCCCAAGTTCAATTCCTCCACCCCTCTCAGAGAGCCCGGCAAGCTACCGAGAGTATCTCGCCCGCACGGCAGAGCCTGGCAAGCTACCCATGACGTATTTGATATGCCAAACACAGTAACAGTTGTCACAATGGAGACGTTACTGGGCCCGCTCGAGCAAATCCATGAACAACGGGAGGACAGTGACAGTGACAGTGACAGCTAAATCTCCATATAGATAGACTTTTATAGGAATGCAGAAGAGGTGGACTATGTAATCTTCACCCATGAGATTCATTGATCTCTCACCTCATAGTTTTTCTTCAGAAAGTTGTCTGCAGGCTCTGGGTGGGTGTTTGCTCACTGTTGTATCCCTGCTGCCTTCTGCTCAGGTTCCAGTTGTTGTTCAAAGGAAGGAAAATTTTCCACAAGGTAGATATTTAACCATAGAGATGGATCCCTTTAGTCCTTTGTAGCATAGGATTTTTCTCAAGCCTAACACTGGGTCTTTCTATCTAGTCTCCAGGACCCTGTTCTTTTTTTTGACATTAATTTTTATTTTAATTGAATCACGGTGAGATAGAGCTGTTCATGGTTGGGTTTAAGTCATACAGTGTTCCAAAACCCATCACGCCTCCAGTGTAATTTCCCAGCACCAGTGTCCCCAGTTCCCTCCTACTCCCAAACCACTCCTCACCCCCCAGCCTTCCTTCTATGGCAGGCACCTCTCTACCCCTCTTCTCTTCTCTTCTCTTCTCTTCTCTTCTCTTCTCTTCTCTTCTCTTCTCTTCTCTTCTCTTCTCTTCTCTTCTCTTCTCTTCTCTTCTCTTCCTCTCTCTCATATTTTAGGCATTATGTTTTGCAATACAGATAAATACCTGTTCTTATTTTCCCCTTGTAACAATTTATAATTGGGCGGCTGGAGTGATACTCCAGTGGGTAGAGCGCTTGCCTTGCATGTGACTCACCTATATTCAGTCCCAGCACACCCCAACCCTGCCAGGAGTGATCCGTGAGTGCAGCGCCAGGAATAAACCCTGAGCACCACCAGGTATGGCCCCGAAACCAAACCAAACCCAGCCAGTTCATAATCTTATTACTATGAACTAGAGTTTACTTTATAAAGATCTTTTGTTCATATAGTCAACAAGTATTTATGAATTGATTTTTATGTTCTAGTGGTAGAACAGAGCACTGGGGATAGAGTGGAAAACTACATAAAGCTCTTACTCTCATGGCACTTGAAATTCAGTGGTAGGAAAAAGAATAAAGAAAATAGAGAGATAAGTATGGGATGGGATTTTTAAAAAGGCACAAGAAGAATTTGAATGGACAATGATAGTGTGGTATGATTTTACTTAGGCTGGTTATGAAATATATTTAGGATTTTTGTAATTAGGAAAGTGAAATAAGTGATGAAATTAGTTCTTTTGAGGGGACAGTATTTTAAGAGAGTGAAGAACAAAGAAGACTAAAACAGGATCATCCTTGTTCGGTTAAGGAGTCGCAACTGGACCAGTGAAGTGGCAACAGTTAAAGGGGAAGAGTAGATAAGAGCAAATCATGAAAACTGTTGAAGGTTAAAACTGTTTTCTGAGATTAAAAAAGAATAGGGGTTCTATTGAACTGGGGCAGAGACATCATCGTTTTCGCTTTTTTTTTCTTATTGCGCCACACCCAGTGGTACTCAGGGGCTATTCCCAACTCTGTACTCAACACCTGGCAGTGCTTGGGAGACCATATGGGATGGCGGGGATCAAACCTGGGTCAGTTGCGTGCAGGACAAGTGCCTTCCCAGCTGGACTATGGCTCCGGCCCCTCTTCTAAATTTTGAAAGAAGCACTCTGGATACTGGGTTGTGACTCAGGTGATAGAAGTGTATCTTTGCGGCTTGCTCTCTCAACTCCATGTTCTTCCTTGAGCCTCTTTGCTTGCTTGTGTTTTTTTCCACTCTGGAGGACCCTGTGTCTTCTCTTGAATACATGTTTCTCTCTTCTTTCTAAGGAAATTTTGTTCAGTAAAAAGTCTTGCTTCACTGAAAAAAATGAGGAAGTACATGTTTTGCATCTGGGAGGGCCCTGGGTTTGATCCCTGGAACAGCATGCCTCTTCTCCAGCACCCCCACAGTGTGCTAAAATGGGGTGCTCTGGTTTCTGGATAAAGAATGCACTGTAAAAGCCAGAGTAAACCATATGTTTTCTCCTTAAATTAATTAAAAAAGAGTAGATGAAAAGGCAGACATGTCAGGGATTCTTGGTTGACTGCTCTGATGTCCTCTGCCCGTGGTGTCTCTCTTGTTTCAAGATGGAATGTGGGGTCTACCTTCTCATCTTTCCTTAAGACACTTCTTGGAAATTACACGATTGCTTCAACATCAGTGGTCAAAATTTTATCTCAGGGACTAGTTCAGGGATAAAGAGTTTCTCTGACTTGGGAATTCATTTGCAAATTAAAACTCAAGTGTCTAAGGGTTAAATTGGTTGCATGAGCAAAGAGATAGCTCAAAGGGTTTTGCATGCAGGAAACCTGAATTTGATCCCCAGCACCACATGGTCCCCAGAACACTGCTCATGGCCCCCAAACATAAACAAAATTATGCCGTAATAGTTATAATGGGCTGGAGTGATAGCGTAGCGGGTAGGGCATTTGCCTTGCATGCAGCCGACCTGGGTTCGATTCCTCCACCCCTCTCAGAGAGCCCGGCAAGCTACCAAGAGTATTCCCCCCGCACGGCAAAGCCTGGCAAGCTACCCATGACATATTCGATATGCCAAAAACAGTAACTACAAGTCTCATGATGGAGACGTTACTGGAGCCTGCTCAAGAAAATCGATGAACAACGGGAGGACAGTGCTACGGTGCTATCATTGTCAATTCAAATCCAAATAGTTATAATGGATCTTGCCATTTTAAGTGTACAGTTCATTGACATTAGGTATATTCAGAGTGTTGTACAAGTGTTACCACTGTTTCCAAGATCTTTATGTCCTCTCAAACAGACATCTGTATCAACAAATTGTAACTCCCAATATCTCCCTGCCTTCGGCCCCTAAAAATCTATTCTTTCTCTCTAAGAATTTACCTACTTTAGGGACTGGAGCAATAGTACATCAGGTAGGGCATTTGCCTTGCACGTGGCCGACCCAGGTTTGATCCCTGGCATCCCATATGGTTCCCCCAGCACCACCAGGAGTAATTCCTGAGTGCAGAGCCAGGAGTGACCTGAGCATCGCTGGGTGTGACCCAAAAAGAAAAAGAATTTACCTACTTTAGATATTTCATATGTTTAATTCATGCAAAATTTGCTCTTTGTGTCTGGCTTATTTCACTTAGCATAATGGTTTAATTCACATTATATCATGCATCAGAATTGCATTCTTAAAATAAATTTATTCATGCGCTTAGAACTCTGGTATAGCAGGAAAGGCACTTAGCCTGTACACGGCTGACCCAGGTTCGATTCCTGGCACCCCAGGTTCTATCCCTGGCACCCCATATGGTCCCCTGAACTCACCAGGAGTGATTTCTGAGTGTAGAGCCAAGAGTAAACCCTGAGCACAGCTGGGTGTGGCCCCAAAATAATGAAAACAAAAACGAAACATTTATTCCTTTTAATAACTGAATATTCCATTATAAGGATAAACCACATCCATTTTTCTATTGATGGATGTCTACTTTGTTTTCATCTTTTGTTTATTGTGGAAAATGCTAAGATGAATATTGTGGTGATGTTTGTTTGATTATAGCTGTCCTGGTGGGTATTAGGGTATACCACTATATTCTTGGTCTGCATTTTCCTCATGACTAAAGATGTTGAACATCCTTTTTGTGCTTTGTGTGTCTTTGGAGAAATGCTATTCAAATCCTCTGTCCATTTTGTAATTTTTGCTCTTGTCTTTTAATTATTGAGTAATTTAATTTCTTCATCTATTTTCTATACTACTCCTTTTTCGGGTATATTCACAAAAGAGGAATTAGTTAATTTCAGTTTGGGGGCCTCATCGAAATGTGCTCATAGGCCACTCCCAGCAGAGCTTCTAGGACCATGTACTTTCAGGGGTGCCAGATTTTAGGGGTGTCAGAGTTCTGACCCAGGCCTCTTGCATGCTAAGCAGGTACTCAGTCTGCTGAGCTATCTCTCTAGCCCTGAAAGGAAACGTTTTAATTAAAAAATTATTTTGTGATGCCAGTAGTGAAAACCAGGACCTCATGCTTGCAAACTATGTATTCTTCCACTAGAAACAGTCCCATCATACTTATGATGATTTTTGTAAGGCTCTTTTTTATAGAAGTGGTAGTACATGCTAATGAGAAACATTTGGAAAAATAGAATAAAATATAAACACGAGAATATAGGGTGTTCTATTTTTTGAGGGGCCTCCCCAGTAATGCTGCAGAACATCAGGGCCACACATGGTGGTGCTCAGGAGACCATGCATTGCTGGGGATTGAACTCGGGACCCTGTGATACCAGGCATGACGTACTCTAGTTCCTTGTACTCTCCCTCTCGTCCTCGGCAATTTTTTTCAAATTAAATGTATATTCAGTGGAATACTGTGCAACTCTAAGAAAGAACAAAGTCAGTTTGCCATGACATGTATGAAACTAGAGGTTATTGTGCTGATTGAAGTTGATTAGAAGAACACGGATGGATACACAATGATCTCTCTTATATGTGGGACTTAAAGATGCACAACAAGGTAGCAACAAAGTCCAGAGGCAAACATAAGGGGAGAATTGATCCACAGAACTAAGTTTGGAGTGGGAGTTGGTAAGGAGGGGCAATGGGGACTTGGGGGCAGAAGGTGGGGACACTGGATGGGTGTGGAACCATCATTAACAGTATTGTAAATCACAAAACTTCCAACTATGAAAGCAAATTAATTAAAGGTATGTTGATTTGTCATGGGTTCACACTACGATGTAAATTTTAGGGGTACAATTTAACACCTCAACATGTGTACAAGCTTCACTGCCATCAAAATTCTACTGCTTTTCCCACTATCAGATAAATCCCTCTTTGCCCTCAGTTCTCAGCCTCTAGGAGCCATCATATATTTTACTATCTTTTAAGTTATTTTTGTTGTGATTTGTTAATTTGAATGCGAGAAACCATCTAGTGCTAGTAAACTAATCTTTCAATTTCTGCCTTATTTTTCTAAGTAGAATCTCCTCAAGTTCGATCTATGTGGCCAGGGGATGTTGGCTATGCATAGAAACGAGGACCTCACACATGTAATGCATACACTATACCACTGAAACATCTTCCCTGGTCCTCCACATTCCATCTGTTTTAAATAATTGAGGAGTATTCCATTGAGCGCATATATCACCGTTTCTTTATCCAGTCATCTGGTGATGGGCATCTGGGCATGTCCCTGGGGTGTGTGCCAGAAACTGCACAGAGCTACGTGTTCCAGAAGCTCAGTGTACATGTTGGGGAGATTGGACTGACGCAGCCCATGGGGCATCAAGGGCCAGAACATGAGGGTCTGGGGGTCATGTTGAGTAACATGGGTTTAATCCAGTGTCAGTGGAAAACTTGTGGAAGGATTGGTTCACTTCCAAACAAGCGGGATCTGAAGAGTGTTGCAGAGCGCTGTGGGCAAGGAGAGGACTTCCAACAGCTGTCGACAAGAGTTTCTAGAATCAGAGGCCTCCAGGCCTTGTGACAGCAGTAGCGGAAGTGTCCCATGTTCCAGCAGTCTGCCAGCGACAGCCGTGGGCTGTTCATAGGTCTCGGTCCTTGGTGTTTTCACTAGTAAGAATTTGTTGGCCTGGGACTCAGCACTACCAGGGGCTCGAGAGCAGCCATCACCTGCCCTTCTTCAGATGCTTCCAGGGGACTGCTTCTGGGATGCCTGTCATCTGGGCCCCAGATGGAGAGCCCCAGTTCAGGGAACACTGGTTCTCTCCCTTTCCCAACTTAAACGAGTGTGGAAGCCCTGGTTACTACCATTTGTAATTTTAGTTGTGAAAGGTCATTACATAGGGTTTTGTCTTTGCTTTTGCTTTTCACTGCTGTACTACTTTAATATTAATTCTTGAATACTTCAGGTATTATTTTGATTTGTCATTGGTTAGATTAAGGTAAACTAATCCAAGATCCTTATTTTCTCTCATTTTATTAGGAATGGTCAGCATTTCAATTTTTCACCGTTGAATACTCGAGATGATGCTGAGGCCCAAAAGCCTACACATTATATAAAGCCAAGTTTTAGAAAATTTATTCAGAAATCTGAAGTGGTAAAACTGAAGTTCTAAATTTTTCATCTTTATACATTCCATTCTCACATGTTTGTATGAACAGGGAGTGCTAGAATTTTTCATCATGTTTTTAGCTGTTCATTAAGCATGCATTATATAATACTCTGGACAGTTACGGCAGACGAATTGGTTTTACCAGGTTTTCATATTTATTACAGTTCTAGATTTCTTAAAATTTTGAGGGAACAACTTCATTAATGTAGTTTACATGCCCTAATATTTTTATGTTTTGGGTACACAACTTAAGGATAATGCGTAAACATACCAGGATATACAGTGTCACCATAATTCAGTTTTATGCATTTTCACGATCCTAAAAAGAACCTTCATGTCATGCCTGTTTAGTCATTTCCTGTTTACACCCTGAGATAACCCCAAATCTACTGTTTCTAAAGAATACTTTTTCATGGGGCAGTTCACAGGGTGGTGGCTGGCTTTTGTCAGAGCAAGCAAGTGGCATCTAGAAAGGTGGAAGTCAGACCCTGTTTGTGACTTCATCTCAGAAGTGGCGTCCCATCACATCTGCCATAATTTTTAAGGAACAAATCACTGGGTCTAACCCATATTCACCCAAAGGGAGAGATGGCATAGGGGCTTGGATACCAGCTGGTCAGGATATTGGGAGCTAGTCAAGAACTCTGTGACCTTGTTTTTCTTCTACCCCCCAACAATTCGTATTCCTTTTCATGCAAAACACCTGCAAGGTCCCGGAGAGTCTCATCCCATTACATGTTTGCTATGCACTCATTCAGTTTTATAGACTTAGTATAAATCTAAGATGACAGTAATGGAATGGGATTTTGAAAGGTCACAACTCTTTTTAAATTGGGATGAGAGATAAAGGTGGGGAAGAGAAAGGTTTGTGAGACATACAGACTCCATAGTAAATGGAGTTGTTAAAAGGTTGTATCAGTATTGATTCTGGGAAAAGAAACTATCTTTAGAAGGGGTCCCTTTTTTTCCTGTTCCCATCAAAGGATTCAGGTTTTTGTAGTTAGTCTTAAATGGCTAGTTAGTCTCATAATCTTATGGCAGGGGATCTCCTCAGATCAGTTACCTCAGTCAGAGAAAACTACTTCATACAATGATAAGAATTTGTTTTTATCTTGGAAATGGAATTATTTAATAACTCCTGTTAGTAACAGATTTGTCTTCCGGATACAAGAATAAGTGGTAGATTTATGGCCCATTTTTATAGATGTATATATTTTATTATTTAAAAAAATTGTTGCATCATTATGAGATCGACCATTACAAAGCTATTCATGATTGGGTTTCATTTTATTTTATTTTTTAATTTTTTTATTAGTGAAACACCATGAGGTACAGTCTTAGACTTACAAATTTTTGTGCTTGGGTTTCAGTTATACAATGATCGAGTACCCATCCCTCCATCAGTGCCCACTTCCCACCACCAATGATCCCAGCATCCCTCTCACACCCCCACCCCCCCATCCCACCCTGCTTCTGTGGCAGGGCATTCCCCTTTGTTCTCTCTCTCCTTTTGGGTGCTGTGGTTTGCAAAAGAGGCATTGAGTTTATGGCCCATTTTTTAAGTTTCACCCACCGTGTTATGCAGGAACAGATCTTTTTCTTATCTTTCTTTATCACAAAAAAAACCTCACAAGCTAACACGGTTTATATGAAGGAAGATACATGTATGTTTCTCTTACTGACCTATATGCTTTTATTATTAGTCCTAAACATTTAAGGGAGGTTTAATTTTCAAATGGAAAGATAAACTTGGGAATTATTAACCCGTACTAATAATTTGTTTTTCATACAGAATGTTGCTCAGGAGAGTGACGCTGCTGCTTACAAATCATTTGAAGACAAGGAAAAGAATAAAAATAGACCAGGTGCAAAGAAACCTCCCAAGGTATTGTGTGTTATTTTTCACTCAATTCCAGCTTTTTTAGTTTATGCCTTGAATGTACTGTGCTAAGCACTAGGAAGTTAAAATGCTTTTGTGATATTTTGAGCAGTAGCCATAAGCTAGTGTTTCTGAATGTTTACCGTTGCCGGTAATCAGTTTAGATATGATATGTTTCCTCGGGACTTTCCCAATAGTTTCTTCAGTGGAGCACTTTTTGAAGTTACCTAGAAGTGCAAATATTTAAAACAGATGCACATGGGGAAGCAGATGAGGTCCCAGAGCCTCCTTCCATTTACCTCTCTAAAGTGCAGAGCTGTAGAGCTCTTTACAGAACTCACAAGTTGACAAAGTATGGCTAAAGACACAACTCTCAGCTGCCTTTGGCTCACCAGAGAAAGATTCAGCTGCTGCATGCATTAGTAAGCATATTTTGCTATGATCTGATTACTTGTACAGCTATGTCTGCTGTGATGGTTCTAACTGTTCAGCATATTTGATTATCCAGAATACCTCATTTTCCAAACATGTAAAATGAAGATTAGTCATGACTCCCTCACCCCTGAAAGAATAGTGTGTGTGTGTGTGTGTGTGTGTGTGTGTGTGTGTGTGTGTGTACTGAGCAGAGTGAAATTAGAATCATTAGCTCATTAGGAGGAAGGTAGTATGCTCAGATAGGTAATAAAACGTATCCTGAAACCATAAACTTTAACAACAGTTCACTTCTGTTAATACCTGGCTCCTTGACAGTCAGAATCTGGAGATGTGGAAAGATTTTTTTCCCACTGAAAGTGGCATGCTTTTACATAGATTGCATTTTTAGCTGGTGGTTCGTCTACCTAAAGTCATTGAGAATGAGGTTTTCAAAATAGCTATGGTCATAGAATCGATAAACATAGTTTACTAGCGGGACACATAGTCAACTGAAAATGTGCTATCTGGGGCCAGGGAGATTGTACAGCAGCAGGTTAGGCGCTTGTCTTGCAAGCACTTACCCTGCACTTACCCTAGCTAACCCAGGTTTGATCCCTGGCATCCCATGTGGTTCTCTGAGCCCACCAGGAGTGATTCCTGAGCACCAAATCAGGAGTTACCCCTGAGCACTGCCAGGTGTTGCCCCCAAACAAAAATGAAAAAAGTTAAGAGAGAAAATGTGCTATCTGACAGTGTAGATAAGCTTTCATGTTTAGGTGATACTGACATCTGTGCTGCTCTTCTCATTGGTCAGAGGTAGTTGATGGTAGTAATTTTCTAAGATTGTTACAGGTCGTTTTCCTATCACCATTTTTCCTTAAAGGAAAGTATCAGTCATATCTTTTTCAAAATATATGCCATAATATTTCCTCTATTAAGCATTTAAAGCTGTATTCTGAGATACTGTCTAGAAGTTGACAGTTGTTTTTTATGAGATTACATCCTCCCAAGAAGTGCCCCAGGAATCCAGGGACTACTCACGCTGACACTTGGCCTGGTAGTGTGCAGGGGACCCTGTGGTTCTAGGACCTTTGCTTGCAGGGCATGTGCTCCAGCCGGTTGGCTGTCTCCTCCATCCCACAATTCTTCATAGTAAATTGTTCTAAGAAAGGATTCTCTTTCATTAGTGTTTACTTCTTATCTGAATTTTATTAATCCATGGCCAGAGAGTATATCACCTTATTAAATACATAAAAATGGACAATTTAAATACCTGTATTAGCTCTAATGTATTCTAATTCTGTTTTATTTAAATTTTTTTGCAGTTTTAACATAATTTCAAAATAGTACTGACTAAACACTTGTTTACAAATGTATTCTGCTTTATGAGTCATGATGTCATTTGTGAAATAGTTGTGCAAAGAGGAGTCTAAGTATTGATTTTTATGATTATGTTGCAATGCACCATTTGTATAGCTTCTAAGTGGGAAACACAGATATTGTCCTCTGGTGTTTATTTTAGTATTTGACAGTGTGCAGGTTAGGAAATGCTCTTTAAAAAATAGTATAGCTCTTTATCTTTTTTTTTTTTGCTTTTTGGGTCACATCTGGCGATACACAGGACATACTCCTGATTCTGCACTCAGGAATTACTCCTGGTGGTGCTCAGGGGACCATATTGGATGCTGGGAATCAGACCCGGGTTGGCCGCGTGCAAGGCAAACAAACGCCCTACTGCTGTGCAATGGCTCCAGCCCCGCCCCTAGCTCTTTATCATAAAATATTTGTAATAAGGGGGGTTTTTGTGGTCTTTACTAGTCTTTTTTTCGAAATTGGCTCAAAGGTACTGACAGGAATAAGTTTGAGAGAGTTTTTGACTTTTTTTCAGTGGAGAAGGCTTTCCCAGTGATGCTTACTGCTTGAGTCCTGGGACTTCTCTAGCAAGACTCAGTGGTGCCGAGGGCCCCTGGGTCCACATCCAGCAGTCTAGGAGTGGATATAATGATGCCAGCAATGAACTCATGGTTTCATGTACCTAAGGAGTCCTCTCCAACCCTTTTTTTTTTTTTGCTTTTTGGGTCACATCCAGCGATGCTCAGGGGTTACTCCTGACTCTGCACTCAGGAATTACTCCTGTCTGTGCTTGGAGGACCATCTGGGATGCCGGGGATTGAACGTGGATTGGCCTCATGGAAGGCAAACACCCTACCTGCTGTACTATCACTCTCACGCCTCCCCCCCCCCTTTCTTTTCCTTTGGCACTTTGAACTATTGCACTTAACCAAGGTTTTCATTCTTCTGTTTTTTTGGGGGGGGCCCACACCCTGTGGTGCCAGGGCTTACTAACTCATGGTTCTGCACTCAGAGGTCACTCCTGGCAGGGCTCGGAGGACCGTATGAGGTGCCACAAAGCAAACCACAGGTGATCCGTGCTTTCACCCTTGTTCTTTCTGTCTGGCCCTAATATTTGAATTTGAAACAGAAGCTGATACTTGATGTCTTCCCCCTGGAATTTGACATTATGGGATTTAATGTACTTTACTATGACTCAGAAGGATAATTGTAGCCCATTCGAAGTTTTGAAAGTCATGTTTTATTATTAGCAAGACAATGTTAAGATTTTAAAGATTCTTATTTAACAGTTAAATTTTTTTGTCTTGTGTTCTTGAAACTACTATTAGAGAGCCAGAGAGAAAGTCCAGAGGAGTGAAATGTGTGCTTTGCATGCTGAGACCTTGTTTGATCCCTGTCGCTGCCATGTTGCTTGACTGCTCCAGCACTGCTGGGAAGCCTCTAGAAACAGTTGTGTTTGTTTTTTATTTGGGGCCATACCCAGCAATGCTCAGGAGTTACTTCTGGCTCTGCACTCAGGAATTTCTCCTGGTGGTGCTTGGGGAAATAATAAACATGCCAGGAATTGAACCCAGGTCAGCTGCATGCCAGGCCAGTGCCCTACTCTCACTGTACTATCTCTCTGGCCCCTATAAAAATTTCTGATGATATGAAATAAGCTACAAAGTTAATTTAAAGAAACTGTACTCTGGTGTCAACGTTAATCTCTTCCCTTTGAATAGCTATAGTGTCTAGAATCCAGGGCAGCTCCAAATACTAGATATTTTCCCATTTCCTTTTCCGTTTCTTATGCAGTAGTTTTGGAGGGTATAGTTTTAACATTTACTTTTTCCTTTACAGACCAACTTTAGAGGTGGCAGGTTCCAGCCCTATTTTAAATCAAACCTAGTGCAGAAGAGTCTGTACATTCAGGCTAAATATCAGCGCTTACGGTTCGCTGGTCCAAGGGGATTTATGACTAATAAATTCAGACAGAGATTACTGAGGAATAAAAAGGTTAGTTTGATTCTGATCATTTAAAAAGTTAAGTGATTTTTGAATTTTCAGATGGGTTCTGCTTAAATAAATTGGGGTTTAATTTTTTTTGTGTGGGATGTAGAGGATTGAACCCTTTAATTTTAACTTAAGAAACAACCCACATTTAAAAATGTTATCATTGTATTATAATTATAGAAAATGTCATTAACAATTTTTAATACTTTGCCATCTTAAGATGATTTTAGTTATTAATCCTCGTTTACACTGAATATGCCAGAAGTCTGACAATTTTTGTGTGTGGTGCCGGGTATCAAACCCATACAAGAACTTTTTGCTCTAGAATTTCTGTTGTATGGGTTCATTTGAAATGGAAATTCAAGTGGACTTTTCATCAACAAAATTTAGCCTTGTATAGTGAATTGTCTTAAGTACAAACTATTAAAAAAGGAAGCAAATTGCAAAATCCATGAACTCTTCATATAGTCACATGGTTATAATTGTGATAAAATACAGCTAACACAAAATTTGCCAATGTAACATGTATAGGAATATACTTCAGGTGGATGGTTTTTCTTCACAGTGCTGTGCAACTATCATTACTAGAAGGTACTTCTTTTTTATTTTATTTTATTTTTGTTTGTTTTTTGGGTCACGCCCAGCCGTGCTCAGGGGTTACTCCTGGCTCTGCACTCAGGAATCACTCCTATTGGTGCTTGGGATGCCAGGGATCATCAAACCTGAGTCAGCCATGTGCAAGGCAAATGCCCTACCCACTGTTAGTTAAAATTTCTCCATAACTTGAGCGATAGCACAGCGGGTAGGGCGTTCGCCTTACAAGCGGCCAACATGGCCGACCCGAGTTCGATTCCTCCGCCCCTCTCGGAGAGCCCGGCAAGCTACCAAGAGTATTGGATATGCCAGACACAGTAACAACAAAGTCTCCAATGGAGACGTTACTGGGCCCGCTCGAGCAAATCGACGATCAACGGGAGGGCCTTTACCTTTACCTTTACCTTAGATTAAGGATTTTTGATTAATTGAGGTGTCTCGAGCCTCAGAGTCCAATCCACCCCAGGGAGACTTCTGTTGATGTTGTTTGGATCTTTCATTCTCTTGCCATATTGAAATGTCTGCACTGATGAGCTGGGGCTCGCAGGTCTGGTGATTCTCTTGTGTGTGGGTACCAAGGGATGCATTTCCTGTGGCCGGTACAGACAGCCAGAGGGGAGCACGGGGAGGTGCTCGCTCTGCCCCTGACACAGTACTGCTTGTCCACTTACCCAGAAACTGTTGTGTTTTGCCCCCAAATGGACTAGCTCCACAGCTCTCTACAAAACAGTAAGATTTCAAAGCAGTATTAGAGAAGCTCAGAACTGGAATTCTTCCTCCCCATTAGTCCTGCCTATGGCATGATAATCCCTTTCTGGCACCCCAATTCCTTTTTACTGTGCGCTTTCCTCTTGAGCTCTCTGCTTCTGCTGGAAAGGTCGGGTGAGAGGGATGTCTGCTGTCACCTGGAAGGGGCTCCTTTGTAGCCAACTGTCCTGCACAAGAAAGTTGGCAGAGATGTATGAGGGTCTCGCCAGGAATTGCGGAAGGATTCCCGAAGCTGCTGCTGGGCACATTGCCCCTGAAAAATCCTGCTCACTGTTGTGTGCGTGATTAGGAGGGTCCTGGGCATGGTTCTCCCCTACCCATCAACCTGGGACCTGTCAGAGCTCCGCCCCTGGTAGGACGGAGAGAACAGCGGGACTCATGGCGTGTGGGGTTGAGCTCACCAACGGGAGGCAACAGGGAACAGCCCAGTACCTACCTGCTGTGTTTCTAGAGCTGCATCCAGTGTACTGGGGTGCAAAAGACGTGTTCTTGGGGGGCATTGTCATCTGCAAACACTGGTGACCCAGAGCCTCCACTAGACTGCCTTTTCAGACTTCTCTGTCTTAGTGCATTCTTGTTTCCCAGGCACCCTTAAAAACATTTCAGCACCCTCTAGCTTTTTCTTTTTTATTTCTCCCATATTCCTCCCGCCTTCCTTGATTTCCCTCACCCCTTCACAGGGTTTCCCTTCTCACTTCTGTTCATGTCTCCAACTGTAACCCTCTGGAGCTCTCGAACTGCAGTTATCTGGAGACAAGATCTTGCCTAAGTATTGCCAAGGTACCTCAGAGTTTATTCAAAGTCAGACTTCGGAGCCAGAGATGTGGCTTAGTATATCACACTTGCTTTGTATGTGTGGAGGCCCTTGTTTCAATCCTGGCCCCTTCAAACAAAGTCTTCAAGGAACTGGAGAGATAATATCAGGTCAAGCTCTATACAGATAGTACAGTAATTTCTTACCCTTGGCTAAGGCACTCGACTTGCACGTAACTGACCCCAATTCCAGCGCTACCCATGGTTTCCTAAGTAGCCCCGGAGCATTACTGGTGTGATCCAACCCCCATCCCTCAAAAAATACTCAAAATCAAACTTCCACATGCCTGGTGACCCATAGATGCATGGCACTAAGTAACAGAGACCAGTCACAAAAACTTCTGATTTTTATCTATATGGAATGTTCAGAATAGGCCATACCAGTAACTGAAAGAACATTGTAGTTGTCAGGGCCTGAGAGGTTGGGAAAATTGGGAGTGGTTATTACTGCCCACTGGGCAGAGTCTTTGTTTATAGGGTGAGAAAAATATTCTAAATCTGATTGTGGTAACTGATGGTTGCACAAGTCTGTGGATATATTGTTGGATAAATTATACACCGTAAATGAAATGTGAATCTGAAGTATATTTCAGTAATATTGTTCAAATGAAAAAATTTTTTGATCCCCGGCACTGCAAAAATTTATATATATATATATATATATATATATATATATATATATATATATATTCTCCCCAGACCACTGGTTCCTCCTCAAGACTGTTTGCAGGTGGCTAGCTGAGCTTGAAACTTGTCCTACCAATTGTAGTTCTAATTTCACCCATTCCAAGACTCTAATTGCCATCATTCATCCATTACTTCATTCAGTCCATTCATTTTTATTGGCTGCATAATATTTCACATTATTTCGAATTTGTTGTGCTTACATACCCTATGATTTTGAATATTTATCTTACCGCCTTACACATTTTTAGGTTGTTTCCTAATATTTTTTGCCCTAAGTTTAAAGATATAATTTGTGGCATTACTATAAGTCCTGGGAATCTTAAGTAAAACTGTTACATCATTCTTTTAAATCTCTTCAGTGAAGCCTGCACACCACAGAAATTTGATCATTGACATCCATTGTTTAAAAATATGCAACCAAATTCTTTTAACAGACCTTGTAAATTATATCAGTTGCTTTTGTGCCCTGAATTTGTATTTTATATTGTTTCCCTTTTAGACTTCCTTGAAAGTCTTTCATTGATCCCCAAATCAAATTTAACATACCATTTTAGTAGGTTTCTGGGAAAATTAGATGTTAAATATTTCCTCTAAGTTGAGTTAGCATTTGAGTTAATCAAAATAGCATAACTTTAATATAGTGTTAAGTGTTGATTAAACAATTTTAATCGTTTTTTAATAAATAAATACATTTTATTTTTATTGAAAATATATTTCTTTTCAGTTGGGTAATGTATTTATAGATAACTAGTACTTGATGCTAGTTAGAAAACTCAGTGTCTTAATATCCATTCTATTTTTTCTTTCTATAGATATTAAGCTCTGAAAAGCATTATTTTTTGTTACATAGATGGTACTGAAAGGACTTTTATTATAGCAATGCCATTTTGTCCTTTGGATTCAACTGAATTTTAGGCAAGAAAAATCTATTAGTGACCCATCATCAAAAATATTTTGAATGTTATATCACCGACAGCTTAATTTTATGCTCCTTCAATTTGATTAAACAAAGGCAGAGAAATGGAAACCATCGGACTTTCAGAAACTAGCTACCAGGCTTAGTTCTTTTTTTTTTTTTTTGGCACAGACAAAGTAGTCCCAATTGCCTCTTGAAAAGGTTTCCAGACAGTACAAATCACAAAGATTCAGGATAAGTAGGTGGATATTGTGCAAAATGGAATGTGGGGAACCAGCCTGAATCAATTGTGAAGGCATGTTCATTTTGAGAAATTAAAACTGAGAATTTGAAGATATAGAATGGACTTCCCTCTATACTGTCTGTACTACTCAGCTTCTTGAAAGTCTTAATCACGTCTCTTGCCCACTTGTAGATAGCTACTGTTTTTCATTATTTTTGGTAACTTCGCTGGGCACCTTGACATTTTGGTGCTTTGCCATAGGGCTCCATTTATTCACTAACACTCACCAGACATACACACAAAAGGGCCTACACACACAGCCACGCTACTGTTCCACATTGCCAATCCTATTACCCGTTGTCAGTCTGATAACAGATTATAGTCTCATTTACCTTTCTTTGATTATTAATGGCATTAACAGAACAAGAAATCATTATAGAACTTGTTCATGGTTCTATCAACTGTGTCCTACCCTGGTTCTAGATTTCTTGTTCTGCATCAGCCTATAAAAGTTCCTTCCTTTAAACCATTTAAAGTTGTTTCATGGTTAAGTTTTTAACATAAATATTCAATTTATTTTTATGATACAATATGAAGACAGGATCTAACTTAATATTTTTTGACTTTGGGCCGTACCTGGCAGTGCCTGAGGGTCACTCTCAGCAGTACTTGGGGGTCCCTGTGGTGACAGGAAAACCTGGGGCTCCTGCATTTGCTCTAACTCTTTGAGCCATCTATCTCCCGGGCCCCCAGAACCTAGTTTTTCCCCAATAGATAATCAGTTTTTCTAACACTGTTTATTGAGCCATTTGTCATTTCCCCACTGATACAGAAAACTGTGATTATTCCATACTGATGCATACTGATGCTTATGCATTTCTGGCTCTGGTGTGAGGGCTTGGGGAGCCTTTCATAGGTTTTCGTGCATCTATTGTGCTTTGTCTCTTGACTGCTGGCAGTTGTTGCCTTTCAATACAGATTCAAGCATACTGCTGACCAGACACCTCCAAAGGATTCTGTTGCTTATGAAAAGAGACCAGACTTGTTGACCAGATCCAGCTACACACATTTCCCCCACGGACTGTCTGCTTTTTTGAAGCAAAACATGTTTTTATGTATTTGTGCCTTTATTCCTAATGTTTTCTTGGCTGTAAAAAGTCCCCTGGTTGGCATTCTTTTTTCCTTTCAAGATCCACTGTAAAGATCTATGAAATTTCCCTCTTTAGTTCTAGCTTCATTGGATGTCTGTTGCTATTTGTATTTTTTATTTCACCAAGGACATAATCACCATTTTATTAGTCTCCATATTACTCTCCCTGATTACCTTTCATATAGTTTGTAGAAGGTGCTTGTTGAAGGAAATCAAATCTAATCATATGGATTTGAGACACACGTACTCAGACGCATTCAACTATTGTTCCTAAAAGTTGGTGAACATCAGCCATTGCTGGAAGGGTCCTCCAGAAAATGCTGCATTTGATGGCTCTCTCAGAAGACTGAGAAATCAGCATGTGATGGCTCTCAGGGCTCTTGGCGGGTCACAGCAGAGGCTATGCAGTGCCATCAGCAAAGAAATTGGTGCCCAAGGCACATTCTGGATCCCCATGCCAGTTTACAAGCTTCCTCTTCCTGTGAGCCATGCAGGATGGGATTGACACACCAGCCATGACTGTGACAACATCTGGGAAAGGGGGCCAAGCAAAAAGCACACTTTTTGTTGATAGTGGGAACATTTTCAAATTTGTGGTTCCCAGATGTCAGCCAGACATCAGCCTTGTGAGCAGGCCTTATTTTAAGGACAGCTATCAACCTATCAACCAGACCTGCTGGGTTAGATCTTTCCTACATAACCCCATTTAAAAAATAGCTGTAAGGATCATACCCTGAGGGGGCCATCAGGGATTGAACCTAAGACCTCACAAGTGCAACTCAAGTACTCTCCTCTCCTGGAGCCACATCCCCAGCTCCACAGCCCCATGCTGAGATTAATTTCATAGTTGGTGATTCCCAAGAGAGGGGACAAGGGAAGAATAGCCAGGTACTGTCTGCTAAGTACTTTGATTTCTTCTTTTTTTTTTATAGTTTATTTCTTTATTGAATCACTATGGGAAAAGTTACAGAGCTTTCGGGTTTAGGTCTCAGTCATGTAAGAGTACTTTGATTTCTAACTCATGGAAGATGGAGGTTATAAGCTGAGTCATGGAGAACAACCCTAAAAGGACTGCAGCCACAGACCCATGTTTGGCAGGACACTGTGGGCTGAATAGAGACAGTTGTGCAGATCATAGAGGCTTGAATGCTGGGTATTAAGGCTGTGATGGGAGAAGATGTCTTCCGAGTCCAAGAAGGAAAAAGTGGCACTTGATTGCTTGGTGAGTGCGCCTTCGGGGAACAGATGGACACAGGTCCGAGTGAGGTGGTAGCGCATTTCTCTAATTCAGCATTCTGCTTAAAATAGGCTCTCAAAGAATTAGAAGAGGGATAGCGCAGCAGATGGGGAAGTTTGCCTTGCATGCGGCCAATCCAGGTTCGGTTCCTGGCAACCTGTATGGAGCCCCGAACCCCACCAGGAATGATCCCTGAGTGTAGAGCCAAGAGTTACCCTTGAGCACCACCGGGTGTGGCCTCCAAAACCAAAAATAAAGTTTATTTGAACACCAGTGTATATGACTTCATATGATAAGTAACGAAATAGGTTGCTATGAAGTCTGCCTCAGTTTATAAAAGAATGATGTTGACAAAAATACATATGCATGTATTTTGAATATTTCACCAGCCAAAATAGAATTTTCTACCTATTTGATGATCTTTTTCAAAATTATGTTTTCATATTAATAAAGCTGCTGAAAATAAATCAACTTTTACATTTCTTTCAGTTTTAATAATGTAAGGTCCTAGTTAAAGGTAAGGTTGTTAATAAGCTTTTCAGTGTCCTTAAAAACATGCATTTTACCATTTTGTTCTTTTATTAGTTGCATGGTCTTTATGTCCAGTTTGTGGTTGGTAATTGAGTATTTTGCATAGTATCACAGCACAGAACCCATAATCATTGCCATCTAATCATAGTCTTAGTGTTTCTGTGAATTTTTGAGTTCTTTTTCCTATTTTGAAGCCTTCCATCATTTTATGTTGTAGGTAACCCACCCAAAAGCAAGAAAGCGCCCCTCTCCGTAATCACTTTCTTTGCTATCATCAGCCACGCTGGAAAAGTCCCTCCAGTTTTAGAGTTAAATATAACATATGATGACAAAAATAAAGAAACTAATATGAGGTCATGCATCTGTCCCATCTGGCTTCATACCGGAGGGGCCAAGGTTTAAGAGTCATGGATATTTTTGGTGGGGGGAGGGGGATAGGAATGTCACCCAGGGAATTTTCCTAAATAGCAGAATGTCATTTTTATCAACTTACTAAGACCCCATGTAGAAAGCCTTATATATATCTGTGTGTATAATTTTTCTTGTTCTGCTAACTTACTTGATATCCTTTGATGTGTTCTGTTTTTTCTTTTAATCTTTGATGTTCCACATTGTATATGGATCTTGGGTGCAAGTAAAACTATGCACTGCACTGCCCTCCCATTGTTCATCGATTTGTTCGAGCGGACACCAGTAACGTCTCAATTATGAGAGTTATTACTGTTTTTGGCGTATTGAATACGTCACGGATAGCTTGCCAGGCTTTGCCATGTGGGCGGAATACTCTTGGTAGCTTGCCGGGCTCTCCGAGAGGGGTGGAGGAATCAAACCTGGGTCGGCCGCTTGCAAGGCAAATGCCCAACCCACTATGCTATCGCTCCGGCCCGAGTAAAACTATGTACATGAAAATATTTGGAAAATTGTTGTGTGAAGAAAACTGCAGTCTGTTATAACTGGCACTTCTTTTGAAGTTGGTTTTTCTCTTGTTTTCTCTCAATAGGAAAGCAAAAGCAATGCCTCAGAAAAATGATGTGGAATTGTTACCGGTGGAAGAGACACTACGGGAGGGTATTTGGGAGCAGTTCTTTTTGTCAGGAGTTAGAATATACATCAGAGCACTAATGCTCTAACTCTCGAAAACTTAATTTTTCCGTAGTCAATGCTGCAACTTTAAAAACCTTAACGATTGTTGTAAAATTGTGGTATTCAATCTAAAAGTTGTATTAACTATAGTGTCTTTTGCAAACCATCTCAAAAGGGCGTTATTTGTTGCTGCATTTTTCTCTGAGCATGGTTTCATAGAGAAAATTGAGTTATTTCCAGACGTTTATATGTTGAAAGTTTTGCATATGTAATGAAACAAAAACAAAAGTATCTGAATTGTATAGTGTCTGTACATGAAAGAACTTTATACAGTGGCCTTACGATAGAAAATTTTATACCAAGTTTTTTCTTTATCTGATGACGTTTTGGCTTATAACTTTGAAGTTTTCTTACGTTTCTGAAGGTCAAGGCCTACATGATTCATACACTTCGTATTGTAAGAAGGTAAACGAAAGGTGCTTTAAAATTCCATCAGGTAGTTGTGAGTGCACTGAATTTTTAGTAATTGGTTCGTTCAGGTTTTTCCACAACAATTTGCTCTTTTCCAGTTTCAAAAGGCTAGTATGGAAAAAAAATGTAGATTTTGTAATCTGTATTCCATCTTCCTTTCCCTCAGGGCAAGCTTGTGCATATCGTATTTTTAAAGGCTTTTTAAAATGGACAAACAAAAATTGCGTTTGGAAATTGTACTTTACTACTATAGCATCACACATTTTGCAAGCAAATATTACAGCAGGTTTTTCAGCTTGGTTGATATGCATTGACCTACTTTGTGTAAGATAGAGCTGATTGGACTTCAAATGAACTTTTACGTTCTAATATCTTATTTCTCTGTTTTCTGTGTTCTGCTTATGTATGCATTCACAATTACATTTTTGTGAATTGTTCATTTGTATTAAAATGTTGTTCTTTCTGCTTGAAGAAATTGGTCAGTTTCTGAGAACATTATTTCAATATTCATATGATAGCCCTGGTTGAACTTGTTGATGTCTGAAATACAAAGACAGAACTTTTTAAATCAACATCTGACAAGAACTTGAGTTTTCACGAAAAGATTATGAGAAATCTTTCTATAAATTTTTCATTTTTTATTTTATACACATATTTATTTTTAATTTTGCTATAATTTTATTATAAATACTACAGCTGGAGCAATAGTACAGTGGGTAGGGTGATTGCCTTGCATGTGACCTACCCAAGTTCAATCCCTAGCACTTTATATGATTCCCTGAGCCTACCAGGAGTGAGCCTTGAAGACAGAGCTAGGAGTCAGCCCTGAGCACTACTAGGTGTGGCACCAAAACTGAATAATAATAACGATAATTTAATTTTTAAAATATGTAGATAACATGACCCCAATTTATCCAGTCTTGTGTTCCTAAATAGTATTTTAAAAAAACCGAATGAGATAAGACTCAGTCACTACAAGAGAGAGAAGATGCCAGTGCAAGGTGAGGCTTTGAGCCCTCTGTACCCACGTAGAGAGGCCTGAGTGAAGAAGTGTTGACAATCCTTCGTGGTAGACCCCAGTAGGGGCACAGTACAAGGACTCATCAGGATGATGGAGTCTTAGCTTCCTAATCCCGGGACCTCAGCCCATAGGGACAAGGCACTTCCCAGGTTGCAGAGCAGCAGGCTGCAGAATGAGCGGGAGCTTTGAACAGAATCTGGGAGCCTCAGTTCTGGACATTTAATGGGAACCTGGAAGAGGTGATGCTAGGTTCCCCCAACAAGGTTCCAGTAAAAGGAATGGTTGTGAGCTGAGTCCAGTAGAATACATAACTAAGATATAAAAATTTAATGAATAATTGGAGAATGTAAATGTTATAAATCTTGACAAAGTTACTATCCATTGGAAGCTTGTTAGAAGTGCAGACTCTTGCTTCCTCTTTCCTGACTCATTCAAAAACTTACGGCGTTCGGTTATACTGGTGATACAGATGAGTGGTATAGTCAGCTACCCAAAATTCAGACTCAACAACACTGAAAACATGACATCTAAGCTGCAGCCACTGAAACTTTGTAATGTGCCTGTCACATTGGCAGGTGGGGATGAGGTGGGGTTGGGGTAGGAAGGGAATATGGAAACATGGTGGAGGGAAGTTGACATTGGTGGTGGGATTGGTGTTGAAATACTGCAGGCCTAAAATGCAAATACTGATAACTTCATAATAATCACAGTTCTTTAAACAAAAAACTCTGAGTGGGACCCAATAGTCTGTTCACAGATCTTCCTGTGGATTCTGGTGCATGTTCAAGTTAAAGAATCATTACCTCTTGGCAACTGATAGTCCTTAGGATGAGGAAACCTTTTTCTGAAGTTCAGCAATACCTTCAGTTTCATTTCTTGTTTCCCAGTGCTGGGGATCAAATTCAGGGCCTCATGCATGCGAGGTATGTACTGTGCCACTGAGCCACATCCCCAGGCCCTACACCTTGAACCCTAAAAAGTACATTAGTTCCCCCTGAGTCTTGGCTGCACATATGAATAATTCAGTGGACAACGTGCCCACCCATTGCTGACGCTGGTTATTTTGTCGGTGGGGCATTGTGAGTGTGCTTTTCTGTATGAGAATGATGACTGTTGTATTGTTTTATAAAATAAAGACTTTCTGGGGCCAAACACGTTGTTCAAAGGGTTGGAGCACATGCTTTGCACGTGGACCCACCACATTCTGTTGTGACACTGCACGGACTCCTGAGCACCACTACAAGTGGCCCCTGAGCACTGCCGGTTGTGGGGGAAAATTTTTGAGTATAGTACCTTTAAATATGGGAGGCTATTTCAACCTGTCCATTTTCTCACTAGTGTCCACGTGAATATGTACCACCTCCCCTCCCTGGCCTGCCTACCTCGCTACTGCTAGTGGAATTTTTACCCTGTTCTTCCTCCCATATCCCAAAAGGACTGATTCGAGCACATGTGATTTTCACAAATGTTGATTTATTTTACATTATTGCATGTAACTTAATTTTATGATATTCCTTTTAAAAAAAAGTCTCCATTGTGAGACCTGTTGTTACTGTGTTTGGCATATCGAATATGTCACAGGTAGCTTGCCAGGCTTTGTCATGCGGGTGCGATACTTTCGGTAGCTTGCTGGGCTCTCCGAGTGGGCTGGAGGAATTGAACCCGGCTTGGCCAGGCCAGCCGCGTGCAAGGCAAACACCCTACTGCTGTGTTATTGCTCCAGCCCTGCTCGAGCAAATCGATGAACAACAGGAGGACAGTGCTACAGTGCTTTTTAAAAAGCAAAGTGTCCCCTCCCCCATGATAACAGTACATAAAATCATCTATAGAAATTTTTCATTCATAATTATACCACTGATGTATTTGTTGTAAACTTACATTTGGGTGTTTTTCATTAGTACTTTAGTATTTCAGATGCATATATTCAGTTCTCTCACTTGTCCAAAATGCTCTTAAAATTTATACAACATTCAAGTTGACCTTTTTTTAGAGGGCAAGGGATAGAATCCATTCTCGGAAAGCTAAAAATGTCTTATGAAATTCTGAATTATCATATTGATGTTAGAGAACTTGTTTCTGGTTTTGCTGTACACACCATTTATGTATTAAAGAACTAGATTATATTGTACAGATAACTTTCTAAAGTAAATTCTTTTAGAAAGATTCTTTATTATAGCGCCATAATTTACATTGTTCTAACACCAATCCCACCACCAGTGTGATCTTCCCTCCACCAAAGTGTCCTGCTTCCCACCCACCACCTACACCACCCCAGCCTGCCTCTTTAGCAGGTACAAACAAATCTAATATATATATTAATATACATATATATACACACACACACACACACACATACTTTGTCACAAATGGATGGAGTTATCCAAACTTGAATCAATAAAAGTCAATTTGTGATAATTGTTACATCTCACAATGGCACGTCTTACTTAGGTCATTGAGGATTTATGGGCTTGTTGATGCTAGTTGAACCTTCTGTGTTACTGTTTTCACTCATTGAGCTTGATGGTCTCTGCAACTTTCTCATCAGATCTGCTGTGATCCTACTGGGCTGGCAGTACTAGGAAATTTGGAGATGTCCAAGTCCAGGAGCTAAGGACCTGGAACAATTTGGTGACTTGGCAGCTTGATGAGGTTCTGTTAGGTAGCTTGGCCGTTTCTATGTTGGAGGGGTGTCGGGTATGGCTGCAGGCTCTTGGGCCTTGAGGCAGAAGGGGGAATATTTCCACCCCCATGTTAAGGCCCCAGAGTTCTCAGCCCGGACCAGTCTACCTGGAAAGATTCAGTGGCATTATGTTCTCTTCAAGATTAGTTGTGGAGCTGGACTGTTTTCCTGCCAGCAAGATGGCAGTTATGGGTAGGGGCTGCCTCTAAATTCTTGTCTCAAATTCCTCATCACTTCTAATCATATTTAATATTCAGTAAAGAAGTTGGGTGGGTTTTTTTTGTCTTGGGACCACACTGATGGTGCTCAGTGGTTTACTCCTGGCTCTGTGTTTAGGGATCACTCCTGGCAGGCTTGGGGCCCTGTGTGGAGTGCCAGGGATTGAGCCTGAATTGATTTTGTGCCACACAAGCACTCTCCCTACTGTACTATTGTTCTTGCCCCGAGGAAAAAATACTGACTTTAAAGCTGGGAAGTTCTTGATGATGATAGTTTCTGGAAGGGATTGTAAGGAACACTACTGCCAACTCAATGACCTTTTAATGACTATGGTGCAACAGAAAGGTTGCCAAGAGGTTCCTGCAAAAGCTCATCAAAATTACCAAATAGCCTAGCAACTCCATTCCTAGACATGTCTCCCAAAGGATTGAAGACAGGGGCAAGTAATACTTCGAAGCCAATGTATATTGAAGCATTATTCACAATGATAAAAAGTGGAAATAATTGAGTTTGTCATGAGATGAATGGATAAACAAGATCTACCCAACTAGTGAAGTCTTAGCCATCCAGAAAAGGATGGAAGTGCTGCAATGTGCTTGAGTCTCAAAACATGTTAAACCAGTCACACAATGACAAGATGTATGAGTCCTTGTCTATGAAGTATCTAGAATAGATGCAATTTCCATTATATTTTAAGAACATTTCCCCATTGCTTTGGCTCCCATCCCTTTATAACGAGCTGGTTTTTCTTCTTTTTTTAACCTCTGAAAGATAACAGGATTTGCTGCTTTACTCTGTTATTATGAAACATACCAAGGGTGAAGCTTTTATTGATTGTGCTGAGCTTCAGATTCCTCATCACTTCTAATCATATTTAATATTCAGTAAAGAAGTTGGGCCCCTTTCACCTGAAAACTTGGGTGCTTGTATTTTCAGATCTTTATCTGCCTGCTTCCGAAACCTCTCTTTGCTTTGCTACTCTCAGAGCAGTGCCTGACTCGAGTTGCTTTTCATTCCTTTGGGCTTCTCATCCCCTTTACTTTTTGTTGTTGTTGGTTGGTTGGTTGGTTGTTTTTTGAGCCACACCCGGCAGTGCTCTGGGGTTACTCCCGTCTCTGCACTCAGGATATATTCCTGGCGGTTCTCAGGAGACCATATGGGGTGTCAGAGATTGTACCCAGGTTGGCTGTGTGCAAGGCAAATGCCCTACCCACTGTAGCATTGCTCCGCCACCCCCTTGACTGTTTTTATTCAATTTTGTACTTTGTGTAGCCATTAGCTGTCTGGACATTTGTGGAATTCAGTTTTTTTTTCTCTCCCCTCTTGACCTTTATCTCTGAGACTCCCACTGCCTGTTTTCTTTAGCTGGTGTTCCTAAAACCCAGTATAGTTATTAAAAATCCCAGCTCACTTCTCTTCCTCCACATCTTTCTTGGATAATTTCATTTAGATATTTTAATTACTTGGAGCGATAGCACAGCGGGTAGGGCGTTCGCCTTACAAGCGGCCAACATGGCCGACCCGAGTTCGATTCCTCCGCCCCTCTCGGAGAGCC